ACAACACAACATAGCACTCCGAGAAGGTTCATACACAGGCACAAAAGACCGAAAAGCCAGCTGCTAGAAGATATGGGACACAGCAGCTGATGAGTCCTAAAGAAGAGGGGTAGAACCTCGCGAGGAAGGTACTGCATGCAAGAGAGGCAAAGTCCTGTGCAGTACCGGTGGTCAGACGGCGAAGATTTGCCATGCTGAATGCACCGATATCATTTGAGGTGCGGGGCATTTAGATGGCACTAACAAGCAGGCCTTCTGACGACTTCGGCATTTGTAGGCGTGGTCAGGAGGCAACACTCAAGAAAGAAGGTCAAAAACCGAAGAACCCAAAAGCCGTCTTGGGAAACCTTAATGTGGACCTCAGGTCAAGGTCCCACCGATGGAACCCCAAATAGAGGACGACTCGTAAAACCGGAGAAAGGTACACGAGTAAAAATGACCACTTCCGTTCTGCAGCCGTGCTTCCGCGTCGAGATTAGCTTACCACACCTTTTGGCGGGGCAAAATTCCGAGAGGGGGAAAAACGCGAAAATTTAAAGGGCAAAATTGGGTGGGGGGTGGGGTTTGCGTCCGACAGGAACACAAGTTGCAGGAGCGTCCAGTCCACGTACCGCCACTGGGGCCGGAAAGAGTAAGGGTACCTGGACCGGGGAGGTGGTGGGTACGCTTAGGAACTTTGTGTTCCTGTTCCTGTGGTCCCTCTGGTAAAACACAAATGTCCACCGGTAGGCATTTGGCGCTGAACGTGTTAAAGAATAAGACCATCATGATTCAGATGGTGCTGCTACAAATAATAACATACGCAGCAGTAGCTTGGGGCTACGTTGCCAAAACGTTGAAGAAGAGGCTCCAAGCCCAACAAAACATAGCACTCCGTGAGGCAGTGTGCTATATGACGAACTCCGACAGGTACGGGTCGTAATCCAGATGTGAGAGAGGGCCCGAAAGTTCTTTGAAAAGAAGGCGACATAGAAGACCGAAAAGCCAGCTGCAACAAGAAGACATTTGGCCCTAGCAGGTGATGAGGCCAGAGAAAAGGGAAGAAGACCGACAATAGTTGTACTCTCAAGAGGGGAAAGAACAGCCCGTGTACAACGGGTGGACAAAAAGAAGCCTGTCGATTGAGGTGGCCAGAGTCAAGCACGGACTCGAGGCTAACCTCAGGAGACGAAGTCAAACAGCAAACTGACTGACCGACTGACTCGAGTCGACGAGGAAAGAGTGAAGGCTCACCAACCTTAATGAGGGGCTTATGTCAATGCCCCCAGCGCTGGACCCCCAAGAAGAGGCCGTCCATAAAAGTCGAGAACTGACAGTTGGATGAAATGTTCACCACGTGCTTCCGCGATGCGTGTGCGATGGAGTCAATTTCGGGGAAAAGGGGCAAAATTTGGGGGGGGGGGGGGGGGGGGGGGGGGGTAGATACATGCCAAATTACATTAACCGCTTTGGGTTGTAGCTCATGAAATACATATTTCAAAGTTATTTTCTGGAATAAAAAGTAGCCTATGTGCTAATCCAGACTAATCTATAATAATATTAAATAATATTTATTTTAACAGGTCTGCACCCAATCACAGGAACAACCAGTGATAAGCATCAAGTCGCGATTCGACACGACATTTGTCTGAAGTCAGTGAAGACGGACTAGAAACTTCAGATGACGATGACGACGCGCTCCCATAATATTTTGATAACATTGGTCGATACCGTATCAAGCTCAAATCAAGGAAGTGGTATTTCAGACTTTTTTATCACTATTTGGACATGACAATAGTAAATGCTTGGCTTCTATATAGGAGAGTTAATGATCAGAAGGGAGATACTAAAACACTTGGGCTGGCAAATTTTAGGATTGACTTAGGAGAAACACTTTGCAAAATAGGTATTCGTCAAAACTCAAAGAGGACGTAAATCTGATTTGGAAAAGAAAATCCAACAGAAACAACGCTCTCGTAACTGTCCTATTCCTCCTAGGGAGGTACGGGTTGACGAGAGCTCACACTGGCCCGTATGGATGTAAAAACGTTTACGTTGTAAACTTCCCAAGTGCGGTGGGTTTACGTACGTCATGCGTGAAAAATGCCAAACCTCGCTGTGCTTTAACAAAGGTAAAAACTGTTTTCATGATTTCCATAAATAAAATGTTAAAAGCATATTCCAAAAGGTTATGTCATATTTCTGTAATATACCAAACAGTATAGTTCCGTGATTTGCATATTTAAGTTGTAATGTTCGCTGTAGCACATATGCTACATTAAAAAAAATGCAAAAATAAATAGTTTTTCTGAATTTGGATTTTTTTAACTATTTTTTGTGGCAACTAGAGGTAATTTAACATCAAATTATAATATTAATAATATTTTAACAGGTCTGCACCCAATCACAGGAACAACCAGTGATAAGCATCAAGTCGCGATTCGACACGACATTTGTCTGAAGTCAGTGAAGACGGACTAGAAACTTCAGATGACGATGACGACGCGCTCCCATAAGATTTTGATAACATTGGTCGATACCGTATCAAGCTCAAATCAAGGAAGTGGTATTTCAGACTTTTTTATTACCATTTGGACATGACAATAGTAAATGCTTGGCTTTTATATAGGAGAGTAATGATCGGAAGGAAGATACAGAAAACACTTGGGCTGGCAAATTTTAGGATTGACTTAGGAGAAACACTTTGCAAAATAGGTATCCGTCAAAACTCAAGAGGACGTAAATCTGATTTGGAAAAGAAAATCCAACAGAAACGACGCTCTCGTAACTGTACTATTCCTCCTAGGGAGGTACGGGTTGACGAGAGCTCACACTGGCCCGTATGGATGTAAAAACGTTTACGTTGTAAACTTCCCAAGTGCGGTGGGTTTACGTACGTCATGCGTGAAAAATGCCAAACCTCGCTGTGCTTTAACAAAGGTAAAAACTGTTTTCATGATTTCCATAAATAAAATGTTAAAAGCATATTCCAAAAGGTTATGTCATATTTTTGTAATATACCAAACAGTATAGTTCCGTGATTTGCAAATTTAAGTTGTAATGTTCGCTGTAGCACATATGCTACATTAAAAAAAATGCAAAAATAAATAGTTTTTCTGAATTTGGATTTTTTTAACTATTTTTTGTGGCAACTAGAGGTAATTTAACATCAAATTATAATATTAATAATATTTTAACAGGTCTGCACCCAATCACAGGAACAACCAGTGATAAGCATCAAGTCGCGATTCGACACGACATTTGTCTGAAGTCAGTGAAGACGGACTAGAAACTTCAGATGACGATGACGACGCGCTCCCATAAGATTTTGATAACATTGGTCGATACCGTATCAAGCTCAAATCAAGGAAGTGGTATTTCAGACTTTTTTATTACCATTTGGACATGACAATAGTAAATGCTTGGCTTTTATATAGGAGAGTACTGATCGGAAGGAAGATACAGAAAACACTTGGGCTGGCAAATTTTAGGATTGACTTAGGAGAAACACTTTGCAAAATAGGTATCCGTCAAAACTCAAGAGGACGTAAATCTGATTTGGAAAAGAAAATCCAACAGAAACGACGCTCTCGTAACTGTACTATTCCTCCTAGGGAGGTACGGGTTGACGAGAGCTCACACTGGCCCGTATGGATGTAAAAACGTTTACGTTGTAAACTTCCCAAGTGCGGTGGGTTTACGTACGTCATGCGTGAAAAATGCCAAACCTCGCTGTGCTTTAACAAAGGTAAAAACTGTTTTCATGATTTCCATAAATAAAATGTTAAAAGCATATTCCAAAAGGTTATGTCATATTTCTGTAATATACCAAACAGTATAGTTCCGTGATTTGCATATTTAAGTTGTAATGTTCGCTGTAGCACATATGCTACATTAAAAAAAATGCAAAAATAAATAGTTTTTCTGAATTTGGATTTTTTTAACTATTTTTTGTGGCAACTAGAGGTAATTTAACATCAAATTATAATATTAATAATATTTTAACAGGTCTGCACCCAATCACAGGAACAACCAGTGATAAGCATCAAGTCGCGATTCGACACGACATTTGTCTGAAGTCAGTGAAGACGGACTAGAAACTTCAGATGACGATGACGACGCGCTCCCATAAGATTTTGATAACATTGGTCGATACCGTATCAAGCTCAAATCAAGGAAGTGGTATTTCAGACTTTTTTATTACCATTTGGACATGACAATAGTAAATGCTTGGCTTTTATATAGGAGAGTAATGATCGGAAGGAAGATTCAGAAAACACTTGGGCTGGCAAATTTTAGGATTGACTTAGGAGAAACACTTTGCAAAATAGGTATCCGTCAAAACTCAAGAGGACGTAAATCTGATTTGGAAAAGAAAATCCAACAGAAACGACGCTCTCGTAACTGTACTATTCCTCCTAGGGAGGTACGGGTTGACGAGAGCTCACACTGGCCCGTATGGATGTAAAAACGTTTACGTTGTAAACTTCCCAAGTGCGGTGGGTTTACGTACGTCATGCGTGAAAAATGCCAAACCTCGCTGTGCTTTAACAAAGGTAAAAACTGTTTTCATGATTTCCATAAATAAAATGTTAAAAGCATATTCCAAAAGGTTATGTCATATTTTTGTAATATACCAAACAGTATAGTTCCGTGATTTGCATATTTAAGTTGTAATGTTCGCTGTAGCACATATGCTACATTAAAAAAAATGCAAAAATAAATAGTTTTTCTGAATTTGGATTTTTTTAACTATTTTTTGTGGCAACTAGAGGTAATTTAACATCAAATTATAATATTAATAATATTTTAACAGGTCTGCACCCAATCACAGGAACAACCAGTGATAAGCATCAAGTCGCGATTCGACACGACATTTGTCTGAAGTCAGTGAAGACGGACTAGAAACTTCAGATGACGATGACGACGCGCTCCCATAAGATTTTGATAACATTGGTCGATACCGTATCAAGCTCAAATCAAGGAAGTGGTATTTCAGACTTTTTTATTACCATTTGGACATGACAATAGTAAATGCTTGGCTTTTATATAGGAGAGTACTGATCGGAAGGAAGATACAGAAAACACTTGGGCTGGCAAATTTTAGGATTGACTTAGGAGAAACACTTTGCAAAATAGGTATCCGTCAAAACTCAAGAGGACGTAAATCTGATTTGGAAAAGAAAATCCAACAGAAACGACGCTCTCGTAACTGTACTATTCCTCCTAGGGAGGTACGGGTTGACGAGAGCTCACACTGGCCCGTATGGATGTAAAAACGTTTACGTTGTAAACTTCCCAAGTGCGGTGGGTTTACGTACGTCATGCGTGAAAAATGCCAAACCTCGCTGTGCTTTAACAAAGGTAAAAACTGTTTTCATGATTTCCATAAATAAAATGTTAAAAGCATATTCCAGAAGGTTATGTCATATTTCTGTAATATACCAAACAGTATAGTTCCGTGATTTGCATATTTAAGTTGTAATGTTCGCTGTAGCACATATGCTACATTAAAAAAAATGCAAAAATAAATAGTTTTTCTGAATTTGGATTTTTTTAACTATTTTTTGTGGCAACTAGAGGTAATTTAACATCAAATTATAATATTATAATATTTTAACAGGTCTGCACCCAATCACAGGAACAACCAGTGATAAGCATCAAGTCGCGATTCGACACGAAATTTGTCTGAAGTCAGTGAAGACGGACTAGAAACTTCAGATGACGATGACGACGCGCTCCCATAAGATTTTGATAACATTGGTCGATACCGTATCAAGCTCAAATCAAGGAAGTGGTATTTCAGACTTTTTTATTACCATTTGGACATGACAATAGTAAATGCTTGGCTTTTATATAGGAGAGTAATGATCGGAAGGAAGATACAGAAAACACTTGGGCTGGCAAATTTTAGGATTGACTTAGGAGAAACACTTTGCAAAATAGGTATCCGTCAAAACTCAAGAGGACGTAAATCTGATTTGGAAAAGAAAATCCAACAGAAACGACGCTCTCGTAACTGTACTATTCCTCCTAGGGAGGTACGGGTTGACGAGAGCTCACACTGGCCCGTATGGATGTAAAAACGTTTACGTTGTAAACTTCCCAAGTGCGGTGGGTTTACGTACGTCATGCGTGAAAAATGCCAAACCTCGCTGTGCTTTAACAAAGGTAAAAACTGTTTTCATGATTTCCATAAATAAAATGTTAAAAGCATATTCCAGAAAGTTATGTCATATTTCTGTAATATACCAAACAGTATAGTTCCGTGATTTGCATATTTAAGTTGTAATGTTCGCTGTAGCACATATGCTACATTAAAAAAAATGCAAAAATAAATAGTTTTTCTGAATTTGGATTTTTTTAACTATTTTTTGTGGCAACTAGAGGTAATTTAACATCAAATTATAATATTAATAATATTTTAACAGGTCTGCACCCAATCACAGGAACAACCAGTGATAAGCATCAAGTCGCGATTCGACACGACATTTGTCTGAAGTCAGTGAAGACGGACTAGAAACTTCAGATGACGATGACGACGCGCTCCCATAAGATTTTGATAACATTGGTCGATACCGTATCAAGCTCAAATCAAGGAAGTGGTATTTCAGACTTTTTTATTACCATTTGGACATGACAATAGTAAATGCTTGGCTTTTATATAGGAGAGTAATGATCGGAAGGAAGATACAGAAAACACTTGGGCTGGCAAATTTTAGGATTGACTTAGGAGAAACACTTTGCAAAATAGGTATCCGTCAAAACTCAAGAGGACGTAAATCTGATTTGGAAAAGAAAATCCAACAGAAACGACGCTCTCGTAACTGTACTATTCCTCCTAGGGAGGTTCGGGTTGACGAGAGCCCACACTGGCCCGTATGGATGTAAAAACGTTTACGTTGTAAACTTCCCAAGTGCGGTGAAAAATGCCAAACCTCGCTGTGCTTTAACAAAGCTAAAAACTTTTTTCATGATTTCCATAAATAAAATGTTAAAAGCATATTCCAAAAGGTTAAGTCCTATTTCTGTAAGATACCAAACAGTATAGTTCCGTGATTTGCATATTCAAGTTGTAATGTTCGCTGTAGCACATATGCTACATTTAAAAAAAATGCAAAAATAAATAGTTTTTCTGAATTTCGATTTTTGGAACTATTTTTTGTGGCAACTAGAGGTAATTTAACATCAAATATATTTTTTTACCATATTAGAAAAAATCGCGCATATAAGGGTTAACAGTTCTAACAGACGGCAGGTGCGGCGTCTATCCCCACAAAAAGGATAGTCGCCGCTTTTGTTATCGGGAGAGAAACCGCATTCGTTATCACATGACTTTTGCACTTCTGACGCTTTGAATGATAATTGAAAAAAATTATAAAAGCTTTAATTTGGGAGAAGTGTAACAATTTTTTTTATAATTTTGTCTATAGATCATGCCTCGTAAGTACATACGATCAAATACAGCTCGACCAAGGGCCACCTGGTCGGATGAGCAACTAATGGAGGCTGTAGCAAAAGTACAGACAGGAGAAATATCTAAAAGCGAGGCACACAGGCGCTATAATGTACCCCCTCGTACCCTAAAAAGGAGAACAACATCTGGCAATTTCAAGAAGGGTGCCTTGGCCCAGAAGGTATTTCTTTGAAAATAATTTTGTTTGTTTTAGGAATTTTAGGCAGGGCCAATGAAACAAGACTAGTTGCGCACATTCATCGTTTGTCAGTCGTTGGCTTTGCTCCAGACAGAAGAACAGTTAGAACACTTGCGTTTAGGTTTGCTGAAAAGCTAGGGATAAAACACCCATTTTCAGCTGCAACAGAAAAGGCAGGATTTGCATGGCTTCATTCATTCTTGGACAGAAATCCTGAATTGTACCTTAGGCAAACTGAGGGTCAATCGTTGTCAAGGGCTCAGGGAATGAATCGAGGGGACGCTAGAAGATTCTATGAGTTGCTGGATGAAGTTTTAACAAAAAATGGTCTAATGGAAAAGCCTTCTTGTATATTTAACATGGATGAAACAGGCGTACAACTCCAAAATAAACCTAGTAAAGTTGTAACGAAGAAAGGTAGCAAAGATGTACATGTATTAACGTCGAAGGAACGCGGAGAGAATGCCACAGTGATTGCTTGCTGCAGTGCAGATGGCACGTTCATTCCTCCAGTTCCGGAGCTTTCAGATGGCTTGGAGCTCTTCGTTCAGTGGTTGGTAGAGCAATTCATACCACATAAACCAGCCGGTAAGTGCGTGTTAATTCTTGACGGTCATACGTCTCATAGCACAAATATAGAAATGCTTCAGATAGCGGATGAGAACGACATTATTATCCTTTGTTTGCCCAGTCACTGTACACAGGCTCTCCACCCTCTTGACAGGAGTTTCTTTCGTCCATTTAAAGTTTATTTTAATCAAAAAGCTCACCTCTGGATGAAACACCACAGTAACAGAAATTTCACGAGATACCAGGCTGGAGAAGTTATTGGAAAAGCGTGGATGAAAGCAGCTTGTTTAGCTAATGCTATCAATGGGTTTTAAAACACTGGAATTTATCCATTCATCCATCAAAATGGTAATGATCAAGTTGTAGATGACATGGTAGAAGGCGATGGACCTGAATTTACGCCAACAAAGCTTCTCCATGAGGTGTCTCCTGTTCCTGTGCTTCCAATTCCATTATTTGGCGGAAAAAAACAAGTTGCGTCGGTTTTGAATTCGCCGCAAAATATTGAAAAACTGAAACAAAAGAATAAAACACCCTACGCAAGAGCAACAAAAAACGCGGAAGGAAGGAAAAAAGATGACCGTGCTGGAGCTGGTCCCGGCAAGAAAATTAATACGCATGTGAAAAAAGATGCTTCCAAAGCAAAAACCTGCAATAACACCTGGAGTTCAGATGATGATGAGCCCCTCGTGAAAATGATCAAGAAAGCCACATCCAATGCAAAAGTCAGCAATAACACTTGGACTTCAGATGATGATGATGAAATTCCCATGAAAAGGGCCAAAAACGACGGTCATGATGATAATGAATATTTGTGCGTGGAGTGTTACGAACCTTACGAGCAAACTACGAAGTGGACTGGCTAAAATGTTTAGAGTTTCAAAAGTGGTTGCACGAAACTTGCACGATGTATGGAGAGGTCTGTAATGTGTGTTCTAGACAGAAACAGAAACAAGGTATGCGGCATCTCACCCATTTTCCTGCGGCATCTCACCCAGATGGTCGGGAGAGACGCCGCTTTGTAAACACCAAAACAATGTTTTTCTCTATATATTCTATCAGAGTCTTATGTTTTATTTATACTCATACTGAGAGTTTCAGAGTTAAATTTGTGTTAAGTTTCCAATGTTCAAAAATAAATAATTTCAAAAATATAACCTTTCTTTGAAATGTGCGGCAACTCTCCCGCATTTACCCTACACTATTGTTGGAACCAAAAAGTTTTTAAAAACGAAGTTTGAAGTTCCGACTACATAATTGGCGCAGCCCGCAGTAGCATTCCCCAAGGGATTTTCACCGATTAGCCCTTGAGTCCGAACTCTTAATTGGGAATCACGAACCTCCGTGACGAGCCGCTACGACTAAAGAAAGAATTTGGACCGCAAGTGCTCTTTGTCCTATTGGCCTGAGGAACCTAGGCCAAAAACGGAATGAAGTACTGAACCTATCAGTAGGTGCTCATTGTATCCTATTTTTTTCATGAGTGACTCACCCCGACTTGTATATCGAAGGTGATAGTGCAGGTCAAATCGCTAATCGCATAGCAAGCTTAGAATTAGGAAGTAGAGAAATAAGACAAGCAAACGAAACTATAGAAAAAATAATACTGACGACCCCCAGTAGAAATAGTGCACCCCAGTTCGACATAAAACTACTCCAAATTGTCCCAGAATTTGATGGGAATCCCTGTAGACTATATAGATATTTAGAAATAAAGCTCAGTTGGTGTATTCAGATATCAAAGATATTTATAAGCTTTACGACATAATTTCAGTAGAAACATATTTTTCCAAAAATCAACTAGTTTTTTGCCTTACATGTTCCACTTTTGCACGTAGACAAATTTAAGCATTATCATCTTTATTCCATGCCTACTGTTAACCAAACTACTATTATTACCAAAAATTCCTATTTCATATTGAGCCGTATTCATAAAAGAGAAGCATATCCTCGGAAGCATAAGGTCTTGCTTCGGAGAAAAAGGTAGAAGTCACGGACGTATATAAGGGGGGGGGTTTGGGGGTCCGGACCCCCCCCATTCATATCCACCTTACTTGTCCAACAGAAAAAAATTACATGCACCGCGCCGATTGTAATAAACGATAGTTGCTGTGGAGCGTGTCCGTAGGGCGAGTATCGGAAAACGCGATGCGTATGCCCGCGTAGTGCGGGGTGAGGGGGGATGGGCACTTCCCCCGCCACCGTCGCCCGCGCTTCGGCGGCGCGCACCAAACCAAGCTAGTCTAGTAGTCTAGTCCACAGAACTGTCTAGTCTATTTTATCTCTTCGCGTTGACGCGTTGCGCAGTTGTTATAAATACAATATAGAAAGAAGTGTCGCTATGAAACGAACAAATCAGGTATCTCTTTTGGGTTTTTTTTGTAAGAAAGAGAGTCCAAAGCCCAATGAACTTTTGTCAATTGAAGAAGTAGGAATAAATAGAGCGGGGCCATCCACAGATACTGATGACGATGAAGTGAAGAAAGGTAAGTCTCTTATTTATTTAATTAGGAAGAAATCCAGTTATTTGAATTTAATAGACGCTCTAAAAACTTTTATCCTGCTCTTATTTTTATTCCCAGAGAATTTTTGTAAACAATTGTGTTGCCGTGAGCATAAAATATTGACAAAAATGGTAATTTCAGTGTATATGCGGAATGTACCTAAGTGTCATAAAATCATTTCGCCTTTTAAGAGAAATAGAATTATATTTAACAACTAAGTGGCGCCCGCGACTGTGTTCGCGTAGACTTAATTTTTAGTTGAAAATTCTTATTCCCAACATAACTTTTTAGTTTTTGTCAAATATTTCTTTGTTACAGCCAGGATCGATTTGTGTTCGGCTCCGTCCGCAGCCGCAGCCAGGACGGGTTATGATATTGGGAAATACGTATGTCATCCTCCAAGCAATGACGAGGAAAAGCTGAGAGCATTAAAAGAGCCTTGGATTCCTCCGGACACATTTAAATTTCCAGTCACTGACACCGGTAAAAAGAAACTTTCTTTTCAACGCCATTGGACTAACAGGTACTCATGGCTTGTATATTCAAACCTCATGCAGGGAGCACTTTGCAAAGTATGTGTTCTACTTGGAAAAACGCAAGGTGGTCGTGGTCATCAAGAACTTGGAGCCTTTGTTAGTAAGCCATTTATTAACTGGAAGAAAGCTTTAGAGAGCTTTGATCACCATGCAGATACGAAGTATCACAAATTTGCTGTTGAGCAGGCAGCAAATTTTGCAAGGATCATGGAAGGAAAAACGCTTGATGTTACAGAATGCTTAAATGTAGAAAACAATAAAATTGCCGAAGAGAACAGAAAAAGATTAAAAGCCATTGTTGAAACAATTATTCTTTGCGGAAGGCAAGCAATAGCACTAAGAGGAAGTCATGATTCTGGAGAAATTGGGATAAATGAGCCTGAACATAATGATGGTAATTTTAGAGCACTTCTTCGTTTTCGTGCGCGATCTGGCGATGAAGCACTCAAGAATCATTTACTAACACAAAACATTCACAGTAGAGCCATGTATACGTCATCAGTAATTCAAAATGAGGTGATTGAACTATGTGGTAGTGCTATTCAAACGCAAGTACTTAATAGGGTCAAAGAGGCTGGTTTTTTTACTATACTTGCTGATGAAACACAAGACATTTCACGGCGAGAACAATTAGCGTTATGTTTACGATATGTACACTGCTCATCTGGGAAATCGGTTATACGGGAAGATTTTTTAGAATTCATGCACGTAGAAGATGTTTCAGCTCAAGCTTTGGCAACGACTATTATATCACATCTTTTATCATAAAACTTGGATATGGATAAATGGATTGGTCAAGGCTATGATGGCGCTGCAGTGATGAGCGGCCGGTTACGGGGCGTAAGAACAATAATCTCAGAGCAATACCCGAAGGCGCAATTCGTACACTGTGTTGCTCATGTTCTTAACTTAGTTTTAGCGCATTCCTGTGAGATACCAATGATACGTAACTGTATCGGAACCATTAAGAGCGTAATAAACTTTTTTCGCCAATCACCGCTTCGCGACGGACTTTTGAAGAAAATTGCGGATCAAATTAACTCATCTCATTCAACGCTTATCTCTCTTTGTGAGACAAGATGGACCGAGAAACACGTGGCTGTCGAAAGATTTGCAGAAATGGTTCCCGTTATACGCGAAACACTTGGGGCACTTCAAGATGCTGCAAGCAGCGACGTCGCTACTCAAGCATACCATCTTCAAACCGCTATGGATAACAGCCAGTTTATTGTTTCTTTAGTTATACTGAGAAAAGTTTTTTCATATACAGCAAACCTTAACAAAGCAATGCAGAAAGTCAATGTCGATTTGACCAACATTTGCAAATATACAAAAACGGTAAAAACGACTTTACTAAATGTTCGGAACGAAAGTCAGTTTGCAATCCTTTTTGAGCAAGCGCAGCAGATGAGTTCAGGCGATATAGTCGTGCCAAGAATAACTGGAAGGCAAACCCTGCGCAATAATATTGCAGCAGAAACTGCCGAAATATACTACCGACGAAATGTGTTTTACCCTTTCATTGATCATGTTATTGCAGAACTCGACGCTCGTTTTAAACCACATGAATCGACGATCGAAGGAATTCAAATGCTGTTACCTGAAAAAACTAGTAATGACTCCAGGATAAAAGAAAATCTTGAAAAAATTGCAAAAACATTTCTTGGTGGAGAAAATGAAGGCACAATATTTCTGAGTGAATATGAGATATGGCACAATCACTGGAAATCTGTAGCACAAAAACCTGCAACTGTGCTTGACGCTATCGATAACTGCGATGATCAGTTCTTCCCTTCAATAAAAAAGCTTCTAATTATCTTAGCCACACTCCCAGTGTCCACTGCAACCCCTGAAAGATCTTTCTCTACCTTAAAGAGGTTAAAAACTTACCTAAGAAATAAAATGGGCGATGAAAGACTTACTGGTCTGGCTTTAATGAGCGTACACCGAGATCTGGCGGTGCAACTAGATTCCGAAGAAATTATCAATCAGTTAGCAATAAAACGTAAAAGACTAAATTTATTATTTTAAAGTTTCAACTTTGTTACTTTTGAATAAATATTGCAATACATACATTAAACTTTTTATTTAAAGGCACCTACCTAAGTAACCTGAGTTATATATTATAGATTACCCGCGACTATACTTGCGTGTTATAATCGAAATGTTTAATCTGTAAGTAATAGATCCAATTGGCGTTAGAGCTCTGTTTTTTTTCACTTTGGGGACCCCCCCCTTATCAGAGCTATAGCTACGTCAGTGGTAGAAGTATAAGCATAATAGCCCGTATTTATAAAAATGAAGCATTTACTTTGAAGTAAAAGGTACAAGCAAACGGTAGAAGTAAAAGGTTTTGCTCTAATTCGTATTCATAATCTCTACCTCTTCCTTGCAAGCAAATGCTTCGGGAAAATAAAGTAAAAGGTACGGAGATTAGCGATTTCGACAAGATATGACTTGCAGCGTGCAATCAACGCGTATGTGGTCTGTAACTGATGGGGTTGATCTTATTTGTCTCACAATTAAAAGCAGTTCGCACGTCAACTGATGTAAAGAAAATCCATCTAACTTATTTGTGCAGCTATTTTAAAGTGAATAAATATTTAAAATGTCTGACACCGACAGTGAACAGGAAGTTACCGAAGATGCCCCTAAAGAGATGATGTTTATCGCTGAAAAAGTCCAAGCATTTCCGGAGATTCTCTAGAAATCTCAAGTTCCAGCGATGAAAAAGAAGAAAAGTGCTACATTAACTGTTATCGTTAAGGAATACGTTACTTTATCTTGGCAAGGAGATGGATATTAAAGCTTTTATGAAAAAAGTGAACAATATGAAAACGCGACTGAAAAATAAAACTGACAAAAATAAAACAGGGAACAAGCCCATTCGTCTCTTGTCCTGGGAGAAAGTTATGGATGCGGACATAAATCCTGTACTAAGTCAGGTACCAGGTGAGAAATAGATTCAGGTCTTTACTATTACCTTGTAGGTACTTATCATGCATGTATATTTTTATTAGGGGCTCTTGCAATTGGCGTGACAAATCAACATTCTTTACCTACTTCAAAGGATGACATTATGGTGGAAAAGAGCTAACAAAAAGCGATTCTACACATCGGTTGAAGAGGTTGCTGCAAAAAAAAATCCTCCGAAGCCTACCTTTGCTTCGGGCAAACAAGAGTCTGACGAGACGAGGTAGTTAACGACAACCCAGCTTCAACGATTAGTTTTATTTGAACAACTGAAAGTTGCTCGTCTCCAACAACAATATTACTCTGCCCAGCTAAGAAAATTAAACGAGGCATCAAACGAAAACCCCGCAAGAGTATGTTGTTGGAGATAATATTCACCAAAACTTGTAAATAGACGTATATGTAATATGTATCATTTATAACAAAAAAAAAATAAACGTTTTTTTCCAGTTCAAACGTGTAAGTTTATTTTTAGTTTAAGTAAATACTTGGCCTTAATTGAAGAAGTTTCACAGTCCAAATTCATTGCTATTTTTCCGAAACCTGAAAAGCTGATAATCAAGTGTGAACAAGATGACGTCATAGAGTTAAAAGGCATTTACTTACTTGAAGTGCCTACCAGTGCAGCATCCAAACGAAGGACTACATTTACGAGAATCAAAAAGGAGCAACCATGGAAAAGCCGCTGTTGCTTCCAGAGGTCCACATTGCACCAAAAACAAACAATCCAAAGGAAGTCAAGTTAGCACATATTTCCTTAGATAAACTTCATCACTTGCAAGAAGGAGCCGACCAAATCCAGGTAGATCTTCCCGAAACAGTGAAGCACCCCTACCCCTGTATGCAATTATGTTAATTGGAATTGCACGCATTTTCGTGAAAAGGTACTACCAGAGAAGAAAAGAATCAAGAAGAATCCAGCACTTAGAAGAAATCGAAATTCAACCCGAGAGGCACGAAGTTTTGTTTGTGCCCTCCAAAACTTCATCTTAAGGGTGGAGTTATGATGCTGTCATTTAACACTTTATTAATTGATATAATAATTGCATTGTATTCCTTTTTACTAGCTCATCACTTTTGGATTATATTAACGATTTTATCTTAATTATGAGTTAGTCATTCAATCTCAGTCACAGCGAACACATACATTGTAATTCCGGTTCGGTCCATGTACACTATTGTTGGAACCAAATCAAGTTTTTTAAAAATGAAGTTTGAAGTTCCGACTACATAATTCATGACCCATTAATAACCAATACTATATTGTTGTTATTTTTAGCTGGTCAGATCCTTTCGAGTTTTTCAAAGAAGCTTTAAGTTTAAAACAAGGCGTTTGGAAAAAGTCTATAGTGTGGAAATGTTTTTGAAAGAACTCCAGACCATAAGTTTACCGTATGCAAATTATGCAAACAAAAATTTAAATACTTTATCAGTACAAGTAATTTGAGGCAATGCTTGTGAAAGAAGATACTCCGAGAGATATAGATGAAAATAATGCTGGTATGCCTTCAATAAATGAGACGGCTGTTGGAGAATCTGGGAAAACTGAAACTGATACTGCAGGTAGCTCATTTACTTTCCTATGTTTGATCGGACGAATACGAATATCAGGGTCAAAATTTTGGACGAAATCGCCAATTAAAACTTTATGGTGGAACTAGCACAAAGGAACTTCCAGAGTTTCAAAGAAGTGAAATCGATTTAAGTTTATTGAAAATGATAGTTAAAAATTACCAGGTCTCATCAATAGTGGATAGTGTTTTTTTGGAATATTCAAGAAAATTAAACCGTTTATACAAAGTACCCAGAAGATATGTTTTAACAAACAATATTTTGCCACACACATATTTAAGAGCAGTTACAGAGTTGAAAACACTTTTAACGAATGTGCGATATGTCTCGCTCACGACCGATATATGGCAGTCGGATAACAATAAAACATGTATCCCTCACCTGTCATTTTATTCACGACACAAAATTACAATCAAAAATTCTGGGCACGCAAAAACTCACTCATGCTAGTCATACTGGAAAAATATTGCAGAGGATTTGACCAGTTTAATTAACAAGTGGCAAGCTGCTAGTAAAATAGTTACTATACTTTCAGACAATGGAGCTTACATTAAAAATGCAATTACTGAGCATTTACGCTACCACCACCATCCCTGCTTGGCATACACACTAAAATTATCAATGAAAGAAGCCCTAAATGGTAGCGAGGAACTAGATAGGTTAATTACAAAATGTAAAAGTATTGTTGCCCACTTCAAACATAGCGGGCTTGCGGCCAGCACCTTAAAAAGGTATCAAGAGCAGATGGCGGCTCTATACTGAAATTTTTACAAGCAGTACACAAGAGGTGGAAGTCTGCACTGACGATACTACAAAGGCTACTGGAACTTAAAGATCCACTCACAATAGCACTAATAGCCCGCTGCCCCCGAGCAGCAGGTAGACGCATCAGAATGGGTCGTCATGGCAGATCTTATATCAATTCTGAAGCCCCTCGAACTATTAACAGTAGAACTTTTAGGTAACTAGTATGTCACAATGTCGCTGGTTATTCCACTTATTCGAGGATTACAGTTTCGTTTACGAAACATCCAGCCTGGCACAGAAATCGCGTTGTGGTTAAAAAATAGATTATTAGGTATAATCTCCAGACGTTTCGGCATTCCAGAAACAAACGAAATTAGAGCCAAAAGCAGATTCCTTCATCGAACTATTTGGACAGGTTAGAGAGATAGAAGCATCGCTGGGGGAAGTGTGTAGTTACAAGCAGACTATGTTGAAAAATAAAAAAAAAATCAGAAATAATGTCTTGTATCTTTCTTAGGCCGGAAACTTTTCAGACCACCCTCGTATATATTGTTTTAACACTGTGCATAACAATTAAACCCGACCAGTTTCTGACACAGTATCCTAATATTTCATTTTCAAGGGACCATTTTACTTATATGGTCAGAGGACAACAACATACGAAGGGTGTCTTTTAAGTTTTGCATATGGAAATAAAACAACACCGTAGGTAGTTTTAAATGACTTGATTGTTTTTAGAAGTATTCTCCACGAAGATTAATACACATCGGCATGCGCTCGAACCAATTTTCGAAGCACTTATTCCACCCGTTTGCTGGCAGATCCAAAACGGCATTTTTGAATGCGTCAACTGCTTCTTCTGGTGACTGGAACCTTTGACCACGCAGTCTGTTTTTAATTTTGGGGAAAGTAAAGAAATCGTTAGAACTTAGATCGGGACTATATGGAGGATGGTCCAATAATTCCACGTTTTCTTCCGTTAAATACTGCCTTGTTTTTTGGGCTGTGTGCGAGCTTGCATTGTCTTGGTGGAGGATGATTTTTCTTTCGGGGTTGATTTTTCGAAGCTCGGTGATGTCTTTTGGCAAACAAATGATGGTATACCAATCCGCAGTAACATTTCTTTGCTCATTAAGAGGAATTGTTGCAATATGACCCGCTGTTGACCTTTTTCGAAACACTTCGAGAACGGATGACTTTTGTTGGCTTTTCTTCACCTTGGAACACCCAAACAGAAGACTGTCGTTTATTTTCTGGTTCATAACAGTGAATCCACGATTCATCACCACTAACCCTGGCTGCTTTCTGCTCTTTAGTCAACAGGTGGGGTATCCAACGAGAAACTAATTTTCTTACTCCTAATTCTTCAAGTAAAATTTTTTGAATTAAGGTCTTTGAGATCTTCAAGGACGCCTCAATCTCGCGATATGTCACATGTCTATCTTCAATGATGAGTTTGCGCACAGCATCGACGTTTTCCTAGGTGACTGCCGTTTTTGGTGCACCCACCCTGGGATCGTCGCTAAGACTCACCCATCCACGTTTGAATTCTCCATACCAACGGGAAATTGTCGACTGATGTGGCGCTTCGTTGCCGAAAACAGACAGTAACTCAGCAAGGCATTCTTGTTGCGATAATTGTCTCTGAAAGTTGTAATAAATTATGGCGTGAAAATGTTCTCGGTTGAGTTTCATTTTGCTAATGACTTGGTGACACTTAAAAATTCACTGTAGTGAGAACACTGCAGGTATTGCTGTGAAACTTTGAATTTAAGTTTACTAAAGAGTGAGGTTAAGATTCAGTACTGACATTCGATCCGCGCGGCCTACTATGTTCTATATGCAAAACTTAAAAGACATCCCTCGTACTGTCAAATATTACCCCTAGATCTTTGAATGTTTGGCATATCTCTAGATTGGTGTGATCAAAATAGTAAGTAAACCGAATAGGATAGGCTTGCGAGTGAAGCTCAAAATTTTGCTATGTTTATATTATGTTTGTTGCTAACGCAGCATTTACTCAACCTATTCAGGTCTACAATTCCATACAGTCACTGTATTTTTCAATTTCACTGAATATCTTCAAATCATCTGAGAAAAATAGCTTCAATTTGGATAGCTGCAATTCCAGGTCATTAATATATATTATGAATAATAGAGGCCCTAGATTTGATCACTGAGACACCTCAAGTATTACTCGACGATTGTGTTCTGTCTATAAAGATAAGGTTGCATCAGGGATACCAAATCTTCGCATAGTCCGATTGATCGTAATTTTGATAATAGTAACGGTATTTATATACCCTTCATTCATTTGGATCGGACTAGCGGCTGACCGCTTCCGCGTTAGATACAAGTCAATTAAGCCAGTTCCTGAGATAAAATGTATCATATGTGCTATTCCAGACTATAATCTATCTCTGTACCAAATTTTATCCAGATCCGATCACTCATTTTGGCGTGATTGAGAATCAAAAATCCACACTCTCATTTAATTATCAGTAGGTATGAGAAAAGCTGACGTCTTTAGGTTAAACGTGTCCATATGTTAGTCTCAATTACGAATATTAAAAAATATCTCATTCACTGAGGGTTGTAGAACAATACATTTGTTCTTCAACGTTAACATGTATCAAAAATTACAAGTTATTAAAGCAAGCATATTGCATTGATAATTCTTAAATTGAAATACTTAACAGAGTTATCAGATCCAAAATGTTAAAATATATAACTTTGGAAGATATACATTTCAATCTTCTACAAGGATTCGAGAAAGTTATAGTGCACAAAACATTAGATATTTGTGACCTAACTACAATACCCACCTACCCTTCGTTGGAAGAATATTTTCGACTTGAATTAGTCCAGTACTTATTTTATAGAATTCACAGAAAAATTAATAACAGGCAAATTCTGCCATGGTGGTAGACAAGCAGTACTAGGAACAAAAATCAATCCTTCCGCTGACTGAAAAAAATTGAAACTCTGCAAATATATTAGTTTAAGTGTAAAAAAATGTTGTTCTTTTCTTTATATCTTGAAAAATATGGGATCTCAGAAATATGTATCGATATTAGGAATACAGCAAATCATCATTCATTCAAGTCATGATTAAAAGAATATATTTTCAATACACAGTAACACAGAAATTTTGGTAGCACTTAATCTTTGATGAATATACAGAGTGTCCCAAAAAGAAATTCATATTTGTTTAGCTTCCTGCGCGAACGCAACGAATCCGAGGGGTGCGGGGATGTGTCAATCACGGTAATTCAGCGACTGCAGCGCGTAGAGCATTTTGTAACATTCTAGTTATTCGGTACCTAAATACATCGCCAAGTGTACAGCTTATGAGAAAGTGGGTCAAGAACTTTGAAGAGACTGGTACAACCCTGGATCAGCCAAAATCGTTGAGACCAAGATCTTCAAGAACGAGAGAAAACGTGGACCGTGTGAAGCAATATGTTCGTGACGATCCGAACTTCACAATTAGAAAGCGCGCAAGTGCGTTAAATGTACCTAGATCATCATTACAGCGCATTAAATTCAAATTGTACAAAAATTGAAGCCCCAGGATGCCAGCCAACGGCTTGAGTTTGTAAATCAGGCAATTGAGCACTTTTCAACGTTCACTAACATCTTGGTTTCGGATGAAGCTCATTTTTATCTGAATGGGCATGTCAATACGCCAAACTCCCGCTACTGGAGTGAAACTAACCCAAAACGCAAGCCTTGAGAAGCCCCTACATTCCCCTAAAATGACCAAGTGAGCTGCAATGTCGGCGCGAGGAATTATCGGCCCTTACTTTTTCGAGGGTGGAAGAGGACGTACAGTGACAGTCACTTCGGAGCGTTATGTGGAAATGTTAGACAACTTCCTGGCACCAGAATTGCAAAACTTTCCTAGCTATAACCAAGAGACATGGTTCCAGCACACGTCCAACCAGTCCCTGTCACCAGTTCGTGAAATTTTCCCTGGCAAATTGATCAGCCGGAGAGGTGACATAAATTGGCCTCCACGTAGTCCTGATTTGACCCCTTTGGACTTTTTTCTGTGGGGTTACCTCAAATCTAAAGTTTATGCCAATAGACCAACCTCCCTGGCTCATTTGAAAGAAAATATCCATCACGAAATGGCTACCATCACAGAGTCGAACTGCCAAGCCGTCATAAGAAATTTTAGTGTCCGATTAAATGAGTTTACATTTGGACGATTATTAGTCCATAAAATATGAGCTTTCTTTTGGGATACCCTGTATTTTATGAACTCGGTAACACTGAAAGTTTAAAAGCATATAATGCTAATAATTATATATACTGAATTTAGACTTTTCTATATTTTAGAGTATTGGTTCAGTAGATTGGCCAATGGCTAGACTTCGCCCCATTCCTTTCATAATTTTAATCTTATGTTGTAATGTTAATGATGCAATAAAGACATATTACCTGCTTATATGATCCCTCATTTTGAAGCTCATTATGAGTACTTTATAACTCTTCAGTATAACATCTCTATTTTTCTAAAAGGTGGACTGCCAAAGTTGAGCAATTTTAGGTCAGCATCTCAAAAACCAAACATCAACCTTCTTCTTTTGAAGAAGTCTATCTGATTATGTAATGTAAGATAGTCCGTTTAAAAAAATCGGCAGAATTTGACAATTTTTTATAAATATTTGTATACACTCGTACAAGAGAAGGATATTAATTTGTATGTCAATTTCGACAGCCTGCCAGTGCGCAATTTTGGAAAATAAGTAAGTTTAAAATGAGGCATAACTTGAGCCCCAATTCTACTTGAAAAACTGCATTGATTAAATTTTCAACCATCAGTTTTAGGGTAAAATATAAACTGGTGGACAGTTAGTTGCTTTGCAACATGGAAAATTTTACCCAAATTCTAATTTCTATTTTCGGAACGGAGAGAGATATCGAGTTACGGTATTCGGGACGTTCTTGACCAACCCTTCGAGAACGCGTATAGGGTTCGATCGGTATATTTCTTTTATTTATCCCCTTATAAAGAGTGAACAATTTTTTATCTTGGAAAAAGGAATATCTCAATTTTTTTGAAAGTTTGCTATAACTCAAATAATCAAATTTTTAACTGCCCGCAGTGATTGTCTTTCGGCTCGACCTCGTCTTTTTTCTGATTACCCTCTCCATGCAAATAGGATGTTTTTCCGGTTTCATCCTAACTACCTACGCTCCAAACATGCAATTGCTAAGTAACAATAATATTGACTGCAGACTTGACAGCATAATTCTATTTTCTCAAAAATGCTCCATCTTTTTCAAAAAGAACGAGAGAATTGTATAAGATTACTGCGAGAAAGTCATTTAGTGAATGATGTACCTTTAATTTTAATGTTGATCGGTCCTCAATACATAGTTTAAGACGTACATAGATATCAGGATATCGGGGGAAACGTCCTACTTGCATGGAGGGGGTAATCCACAGGGATTCGAGGTCGAGCCGAAATACATTTATTGCAGGAAGTAAGCCGAAGGAGGACCCTTTCATCCAGAACCTTGAATGAAAACTTACGGCGGCACAGTGGAATAATAGCATCCAATCGTACTGTAAGAAAAACTTAAAATTCTAATTTGTTAAAGGTATGTAAATGTTAGGTATGTAAATGTTATAAAAAATTGGCTAGTTACTTTTTTAAAGGATGCTCCTTTCTTCCAGAGTAAGGCGTCGTATCAAGGGCACCCAACTCTTGATCAATCATAGAGTCGCCAGGTATCAATGGGCACAGGAGCGGTTAAATTGGCATCAGCAATGGCAAAATTGCATATTTTTCGATGAAAACGTATACCACTCTGATGGTAGGGTCCTTGTTTGGAGGCAATCTGAGGAACGATATGATGAAGAAAACATCGCTCCAAAATAGGTGTTTGGTGGAGGTGGCATTACTGTTTGTGCTGGTAAACGGAACTTTTTATTTCAAACAGGACAGACACAATATTTTGGGGAGGGTTTTGTCTTCATTGATGATAACACCAGCACGCACAGAGCTCGTACTGTTGAAAACTTTTTGGCAGAAAATAATGTTACATTATTGCCTCTGCCATCAAAGTCTTCAGACCTGAACATAATTGAGCATGTGTGGTCTCGGCTAAGATTTTTAGTGCGGTCAAGACAAATTACTCCTCAAAAAATGGAAGAGCTGTCTTAGGCCATTTAGGAAGAGTGGGAAAACGTATCTCGAGAATTTATTAATAACCTTCTGGAAAGTATGCCATGAAGATGCCAGGCTGTGATCGATGTGCGAGGTGGCCCTACAAGATACTAACAGTATTGTTTAAAATAAACGTTGCTGTTTTGTAAAAAGTTCGTTTTTGTCATAAAGAAATAATTTGATCTTAAAATTTTTGTTTCCTAAAATGTTACATATGTATTGTTAATGTTAATCAATTAAATTACTTGATGTTTACAAATTTAATAGAGTCTATTACCTATTGAATGAAGACGCGTACGCCAATGCTGAATGAGAAAAATTCCAGATAAAAGATGAATAGCAGTATTGGCCAGCGTCATAGCAGTTTGAAAAATAAAAACTTTGAAGTCATTAGCACTTCTTAGCAAACCAAAAAATGTTTTTGGTGTTACGCCACTGGAATACACCCCTATATTAAGAGTAGTAACTTGAATTTTTTCATTAAGCTGTTTAATTGCATAGTAAAATTTATAAATTCTGTTCAAATTACATAATGTCAAAGTAGCAAATTTTTACTGCACGCCACTGGAGGCAATTACGTTCAATGAGTGCTTCAATCTTTTCTCGGGCGCAAGAAATTCCACTTCATGCAACAGTATGAGAAAAAATACCCATTCTCAAGATAAACCTCAAGAAATGCCTTTTTAGGGATGAATTAAAATTCGATAATTTGAGTTATAGCCAACTTTCGAAAGATTTGAGATACCACTTTTTTTAGGTGAGTCGAAAGATAAAAACATGCACAGAAATATTTCCAAGATCAAAAATTGAGAATCTGACAGACCCAAACTTTGCTAAATAAAAGAAATATACCGGTCGAACCTTGTGCGTCAAGAACCTTCCGAATACCGTAACTCGATATCTTTTTCCGTTCTGAAAATATCAAGGTTTGAATTTGGGTTAAATTTTCCATATTGCAAAGCGACTATCCACCAGTTTAGTATTTATGCATAAATTTCATCATACCAAATTTCAGCTTGCTTACTTGACCCGTTTGGCTTTTTGGGTTGCTACAAGTTAAAGGAAAATGTCAGAATAAGAGCACCTACTCTTTTTGATTCTCAAAATCGAAGTGAATCTGTAATATCTAAACCTATATTAAAATATCGCCCAATGTAAAAACTGTTATGGATTTAATCATAGTTCTAAAATTGAGATATACTCGCTCCCACCACCTATAAACCCCAACCCCCAATTTTTAATCCCTACACAACATTTCTGAAAATAATCAGAACCATCTGAGAAGTCAAAAAACGAAGTTTGAAATATTTAATTTTTTTTTCGTGTTTTGGCTTTGGCAAAGCTTTTTTGCGTTTGGCATAGCAGCGACCTTTGGTGAAAATTTCTTCAAAATCCAAGAGTACTTTCAAAGTTATAGACGAGCCAATGATTAGCTGACAGACATACAGGTCGATGGAAATTGGTGAGCATTTTTTTTGATGTACACTTCATAAACATAAAAAAATAGCTCCTTTTCGAAATTTTTTAGAATTACAATCCTTCCTCGCCAATGGCGTGGAAAGCAAAAACTGGAAGAAGTATCGTAAATTGCTGTTTCTGTAACAAATTTTCTCAGTATGTTTTTTAGGTAGAAGGAAAACAAAAATACTATTACATCTCGTAAATCTAGAACTGTTTTAGTTGGGGCGAGGAATGATTTTTATCAGTACTATTAACTACCATCATGCTGAATTTTAGCCTGTAATGAATTTTTCTAATCTCAAAATTTATGAGTATTGGACTCAACGTTTTCCTTAAAAATGCATGTATAACAACAATGTGAATGATCAAAACGTTTCGGCCATTTACATCTTTAGCCCCCGAAGGCACTTTTTAACAGTGCAGAGCCATCCTTTCTCTGGTCATAGTTCAGCCTTAAAAAGTTCCCATCTGGCGTCATCCGATTCATGGGTTAAGTAGCGTACACCTACTTGACCTTCAAGCGTGCGCAAGTCACACCACGTCTCGTAGTCCTGGAAACATTTGTAATTTAATACTCATTGTTGTTATCATCATCATGATTATATGAGATATGGCCCAATGAAAAGTCGCACCCCTATCTGTGACTCTCCTGGCATACTTTCAGTCAAATGGAAAAAAATTACGAGGGTATGCGTATCGCAGTTGAAACAAACATTTGTTTGCCCTCATAGGCTGGGATTCCCTATTCTACATGAATCCGAAAGATGGATCATACATCAAGAGAAGTTTTATATCAGTAGTTTCTTTTCTTGTTTGAGAGCATTGCTAGGCTGGTATGAGAAATTATACAGGATGATTCACAAGTCGTGACCAAAAATGAAACATACCGGGTTTTAAGGGGGGTCTTCTATGTGACATTTTTTCCTCGAGGACTTCAATAAAAGAAAGATACGGGGTCGTAGTTTAAAAATAAAAAACATTTTTTTTTTCAATATCTTCAAAACCGTCTACTGGAATGAACTAAAATTTGGTTTGTGGATTGACCTACGTATTGTCCACATTTAAAAGTCTTTACTTAAAATTAACGTGCACCAGTGGCGGAAATACAGGAGATTAGTGGCATTATTTTTCCAAATAAAAATAGTACGCCACAGTGTTGTGAAATGGAATTTAGCAATAATGAGTACGCAGATATTATTTTTATGTACGGGTTATGTAATGTAAATGCTTTAATGGCTTCTCGGGATTATTAACCTAGATTTCCTAACAGACGCCAACCTACCCCAAAGGTTTTGACACGTTCATTTCTAAGACTTCAGCAATATGGAATTGCCAAACTTTCCGGAATTAGAGGCCGTGGTATCCGGCATACTGTTCAAGAGAAACTGGAAGTGATTAATTTGGCGTTGGATGATCCTAGTACAAGTACTAAGAGGAATGCAGCCCAGTTACCATCTTCCCAAAGTCTTGCGTGGAAAATTTTAAAGTGGGAAGTTTTACATCCTTACCATCGGCAAAATGTGCAATGTCTACAACCCGGCGACGAAGTGCAACGGTGAAATTTTTGTGAGTGGTTATTGCAAATGCATAATCAAAATGCAGATTTTATTGATTTGGTTTTGCGGTCAGATGAATCGCTTTTTACGAGGAGTGGAACCTCTGATAATGAACATATTTGGTCATTAGAAAATCCTCGTTCTGTAAGAATCCACTCGTTTCAACACAGATTTTCTAGAAATGTCTGGTTGAATGAATGAATGAGTCGTGAAATTAGAGGCATTCCGGCCACCATAAGAAGCCAGTGCATAGGCCGCTTAAGCGGGCCCTCTACATTCCTTAGATCACAAGCCTCGCCCTTTCAGTGAAGTTGAGAATCCCCTTCAGTCCAAGCTCATTGACGTCCTGAGGGTCCAAAGTAATAGACCCCAGTATAGTCTGCCTATAGTAGCTCAGAGCTTCACGTGCGCCGAGGTCTCTTCCTCTACCACGCAGCGCTCACACAAGGGATCCTCAGCCACCCCCATCACGTGCAGGTGGCGCCTTAACGTGTTATGGCCAGACAACAGTCCCACCAGCAACCTTAGGTTGGCTCTATCTAGAGATAGGCAGAAGCGTCCATCCTTATCACTGTGCCCTTCAATGAGTTCTCGTGCCTGGCGGAGATGTCGGGAGACACTTCTCCATTTCTGAGAGTGTTGTCTTGTCTCCATTTTCCTCCTAGCTTTAAGCGCGGTCACTCCTAGAGCTGGCTCAGGACCAACGAGCTTGCTGGCTGATCCTGTTTTCGCCAGTGTCCGCCGTCTCATTGCCCCTTATCCCAGCGTGCCCCGGTACCCATATTAACGATACCGGATGCCTCGCTGCGAGGCAATCCAGAGCTTCCCTGCATTGCAATACAAGACTCGAAGTAATCTTACAGGCATTTAGTGCCTTCATTGCAGCCTGGCTGTCGGATAAAATTGTTATTCTTCTCCTAGGCCCACCCTCCTCTAGAATGCGAGATACACAAGCCAGAATCGCAAAGATTTCCGCCTGGAAAATAGTGGTGTATCCACCGAGAGGCAGAGATAGCCTAGTTCTAGGCCCAGAGACCCCAGCACCTCCTCCCTCGTTGGATACTCCACAGTAAACTTGCGGTTGAAGCGATATTTAGGGGTAATACGATCACCCCTGCTTAGAAGGAAGGGGTCCTCCCTTTGTAATTCGACTAAGATGGCAGTATTCCCCTTGACAGGATTCAAGAAGGCCCAGCCGCCCTGACTCCACAGTCGATGAGCAACTACTCTCGCTTCACCGCGGATCACCAGATCCAACGGTGGGAGATCCTACAGAGCTTCCATTGCACTCAGTTGCGTTGTTCGTACTGCGATGTCTGGTACGGCATTTTCAACTATTCAACTGTTTATGCACGTATTGCCACAACGTTTAAATGCAAACTCGTACTTAGCTTTTATAGAGAATTACATAGAAAATGTGTTAGATGATGTTGCGTTAGCAACGAGAGTACGAATGTGGTATCAGCACGACGGTGACCCACCGCATGTTCGTCGCGACATAACCGCATGATTAAATCATTTTAGGCAACGATGGATTTGCAGAAACGGACCCGTACATTGGCCAGCGAGCTCTCCTGATTTGAACCGCCTGGATTTCTTTTTGTGGGGCGCTTTTAACCAACTAGCGTATGCTGAATAAATTAATACTGTGATCAGTTACAAGAAAGAAAGATAATGCGTTTCATCAAATTCTGTGGAAATACCGTTTTATTTAATAAAAAGATGCCGCACTTGTATCCGTCAGAATGGTGGTCTTTTGAGCATTCATTGAAATAAAGCTTTGATTATCTAATTTGTTTTTTTTTATTTTTACGAAAACAATGCACTATAGGAAAAAAGACATGAGTAATTATTTGTAGTAAATTGAAGGTAAAATTCTAAAAAATGCGAGTTTCGAAAAAAAAACATGTATTTTTATTTGGAAAAATTATGCCACTAATTCCCTGTATATCCGCCACTAGTGCACGATAACTAAGGTCAATACACATACCAAATTTTAGTTCATTCCAGTTGACGGTTTTGAAGATATTAAAAAAATATTTTTTTATTTTAAACTTCAACTCCGTATCTTTCCAATAAAGCCCTAGAGGAGAAAATATTACATAGAAGATTCCCCTTAAAATGCGATCCTGTGTATGATGTTTCATTTTTGGTCACGACTTGTGAATCACCCTGTATAAGAATTACGTGCAGTGAAATGAGGCATCCTTGAACATCGGCGGTTAGGCAAACATAATTACGCATTTAGCAAGCTTCGATGAAGGTTCGAGTTCTGCCTGGAAGGCTTCTGGACTTCGTCGATTTGAGGGTATACGCGTGTCGAGAGCGGGCAGGTGGAGTCACCCGAAAGTTATCAATGCGAAATGCCATAGTCCAATTGATATAGTCATAAATTTGTAATAAATTAGCTCCAAGAATTGTAATAAATTAGTATGAGAGTAATAAACTAGACTTTAAATAGTAAAAACGGTGTTTTCAATACAAAAGCATTTGGGTCATATATGGGAACATAGGGTATTCTGCTATAAATAAATCCTCTAACTTTTTTTATTATTTCTTAGAAAAATAGCAAATATAAGGTTTAGAGTACAATGTTTTCTACATCCATTTTTAGTATACAGGACGAAATTATATCAATTTTTTTAATGGAAACACTCATTATATACTCAGTGACATTAGTAGTGCTATACCCAGAAAAGATAATTTCTTCAACTTGATTTTTTGGCAATGAGGTAGACTAACATCAAGAATGAAACGATAACATTCTCAGGAAATTTTATTGACAAGTAATAAGAAAAAAATTAATGTGTTGGGCAACCCCGCAGCTGAATACACTCCTGTTTGCGTCGACAAAATGAGATGATCGATGTCTGGTTGTGGCACCTCATTCTAAGCAACTCGAACTTCGTGGACTAGCTGTGTCAGAATCTGTGGCGAATGGCTCAAAGTCGATAGTCTCCCCATCATATCCCACACATGTTCGATGGGATTTAAATCCGGTGAAAGGGGTGACGACTGCAACACATTAACGCTTGATTCTTGAAGAAAGTCCGTAGTACGACGAGCAATATGGGGACGTGCGTTGTCTTGCGGTGTGGACGGCCATCTAGATACGGCAGTAAACTGGTAATTTGTAGGACAACATCAACATAACGCGTGGCAGTCATATTGCCTTGAACAAAGAGAAGGGGTGATCGGCTACCATAGGCAATATCCTCCCAAACCATTACTCCAACAGTCCTGTGTACATGCCTCTGAACAGCGAATTAAATACTACGCCATTCTCCACGGCAGCGTCTTACCCTTCTACGACCATCGTGCGTACCTAGACCGAATCGCGATTCGTCGCTGAAGATAACAGTACGCCATTCTGCCTCCCCATGTTGCCGTTCTCTGCTCCAGTTCAAACGATGACGACAATGGTCCGCAGTCAGAGGAAGCACTAACCGGGGACGGTATGAAAAAAAGACCAAAGGCTTGAATGCGTCGCTGGAGTGTACGTGTAGTAAGCCTCCTTCTCCAAACTAGCGCCTGTCTTGACGCTTTGTGGTACGCCTCGGTGGACCACTTGGTCTTCTTCGTGTTCCTCTACCTTCTTCTATCCTCACACGCGTTACCAACATTGCAGTAAAATTAAGACGGCGGCCAATTTCGCGATAGGACAAACCAACAATCATCGATAGGCAATAATTCTACCCTTGTCAAGGTCGCTAATATGGTGATAATTTGGACGTCTTCGAACTCAACACCACTAAATGAAAGGGCAATAACAAAAAATATCTGTATTATTCAGCTCTCAGAAACTGCTTTCCCAACAAAAACTAAGGGATAACATTTTAACAAAGGTAAACAAAAACAAAGATAAAACGTTGACATTGTTGTCACGGCATGCTTTAAATGTTGTCATTCTATTGCCAAAAAAGAAGTTGAAGAAATTAATTATTTTCCTGGGTGTAACACTTCTAGTGTCACTGAGTACACTTAATTTCGTTACTGTAGTGAAAAAGTTATATTTTGTGCGTCATTTATCGTATATGTCCGGACATAGATCACTCTACAAAATAAGGTTTTTTTATGAGCGTTCAAACAGAAAGTTAAGAGTCAATTTATAGCGGGACACCCTCTACGTTTATAAAGTAATGAATCTTACCTGCAACCAGACGTGTGCTAACGATTTATCAACTGTAAATCTCTTCCTTTGTTTTACTTGTAATAAATTATTTATTAGATTTATTGCTACAAATAAAAACATCTGTTAGCAGAATAATAAATTTTGAACCATAGCAGTAGGCAGAGCATGGTTCATAAGTATTATTTCTACCTCACATTTTGAGGGCTATGTGTCAGAAGCCATTATCCACTAGACTCACCATACTCTTTCCATGTATTTCAGTCGTGATAACTGACACCGAATGGAATAAAGTATAATAGATCTAGAGGCCGTGTCACGTAACTTCGAACTGACAGTTATACCCTATTTCACGAGTATCCATTACGGAAGAATGACAACTGATTATCTAGTAATATCTCAAAATTCCCCATATCGGCACAGGACACAATTCTGACAGATCCGTCAACGACAGGTAGTGAGAACCGTATTTTGTTTTGTTTTTTTATACGCTACAGATTCATTTTGTACTTGCTAACAGCTCTTTTATTTAGAAAAGTTCATTTGCATACAAAAAACAAAACGCTACATAGAAGATTTTCTTGATTTACACGAATTTATATCCGATTCATTATTGCCAACGTCGCAGACTAACACAAAAGTGATGACCACAGGAGGTATCAAAGAAAAACTGAATAACTTACAGGCTTAAAACTTTTTTTCATTACAATTTGTATGTAATCACATTTTTTAAATAGTTTTGAACAAAACTTCAGCAAGATGATGGCCTTCAGCAACAATACACTGATGTAGTCTATTTCTGAAGCTTTGAGCTACTTTTCTATACATTTCTGGGGGTATGGTGGATGTTTCCTCAACAATTCGTGTCTTTAGCTCATCTAAAGTGTAGGGGCGATGTTTGAAAACTTTTTCCTTCAAATAACCTCACAGAAAAAAGTCGCACATGCTTAAATCTGGCAAGCGCGCTGGCCATCCCAAGTCACCTCTCAAAGACACAAGCTGTGGGTGCTGTAGCCTCATCTTGTTGGAACCAATCAGCTATGACAGTTACTGTTCGATCATTCTTCTCAAAAAAAAATCAAATGATCCCAAATTGTGACATCGCACACCACATAGTCACTTTAGGTGAGTGAAGTTGCCTTGGGTTACTGTCAGCCCAGTACCGAAAATTCTGCTTACTGACAGCACCAGAGAGGTGCTCGTCGCAGCTGAAAAAAGTTGATGTTTTGGGGATTTGTTCAAGCATTTCTTGACAACGATTTACATGGTTTATACAGCGCCTTGGTGACAATTCAACTGCTGCCCTCACAGCTATCACATTTTCCGGTGTTGTGAGAGATCTGGGTCTTCCAGTTGCCTTAGGTCTTGTTGTGGATCCAGTGTTTTCCAATGTACGGGCAAACGTCTTATTTTTCTTACCGCTAGGGACCATAACATTACGCGGAATGTTGAAATATACGCGAATAGCTCTCTGCGTGGCGATGACAGAGCGGCCATTTTCAAAAAACGTACGCACAGCGAAGCCGCGATGCTCACCTGTCCAAATCATGGCGTCAATTGAAAACTGGACGATGCAACATCCACAATGACACCCCTCCCCACTTCCTATTCCCACCACTGAACAAGCAATTAGTGTGACAAGCCGGTTCATTACTTATACCCCACCCTGTATTTGCCATACTCGTTTAGTAGTATGTCACACTGGTCTTTTGACCATGACATCTCTCAAGTTTTTCAATGTACAAGTAGAACAGTACTGAACAACTGATGAATGTGCTTGAGGTTGGGCATGTTTTTGTCCAATTATCATCTCATCTAATGATTACAAAGCATCAAGAGAACATCAAGAAAAACATGTAATTCCTTGTCACGTAGCGCTTCTATCAGCCATTGTACTGCTCCAAATGCACAGTAGGCGACTCCGCACTTTTAGTATAGTATTTAGAACACGTTCCAAAAAATTTAGCACTAAATTTGTTTATACAAAATTATGTACTAAATGCTGTCTGATGCTACCCTTAGTTTGTACGACATTTAGCACAAAATTTCGTATCGTGACAGACGACCTTAATACTTAATCGTATCCACATCACCATTTCGCAAAAATTGGAGATACTTTCTTAGCCCACTGCTGATGTTGAAAGATGATTCAAGACGATATACACTACATAACTGAACGTATCTTTAAGAATGAGGAAATGTATGCTGGTTTTAAACATGTGACCCGGAAGATCAAGAATTTACATGGGGCATCCGATGTTTGGAACATCTACTGACACACCGACTGTCAGTGTGCACGTGGCATGTCACCACGAACAAACTCTTCAAATAAGATTTTTAGGTATTTATGAGTTCTACAAAATGAGACCACACGTAAAAAAATCCGACTAATAGCAAAAATGTTATGGCCAAAAATCGAGGCAAACCGAGCTTACCGAACAAACGTTCACACACAGGGGTAGGTTGCATGTGTATGTATGAGGGAGATGGAGATATATAAAGGGATACTGGTAGTATTACTTTGACCCGTCAAAAACGGTTACTACAGCTATACCACGATACTTGACACTGACAAATATTTACAATCAAATCTCTTATAAACAATTAGCCGGTCAGTTGGCTACAATTGGTTGATATTTGTCTGTTTAATCGTACAAGATTTCGAAAACAAACGTGTATTATATTAATTCTTTTAGAGAAAGGGTCCAGGGAATGATATTTCTTCGTAAAGAAACTGGATTTCGCGACCTACTTACCTGACAAACTCATACAGTCATGAATAATGTAGCTATTTAGCACATGCTACATACTAACTAGGCTAAGACAGTTTGAAACATAATTGCGTCTTCAGTTTGCGTGCTAACTTTATAAACAGTTCAGTGCATTTCAGTATGAAATATTTTTTTTTATAAACTTTAAGGCTCATCTGTAACCGTGTAAAAATATTAGCTCTGGATAAGTATACATAAAAGAATGAAGAAATCTTAAAAAATGTTTAGCGCATTATTTTCGAATATCAGTTACAAATACGTAACCCTTGCTTTTTCGTATCAAAATGATATTTATCTTCCGGAATGGTTTGTGATTCATATGGGCAAGGTAAACTAGTGCATGTTGCTATTAACTGCCCTTTGAACAAACCCTGTATATTGCCCAATAAACTAGTACTGATGGTCGGAAAACAGGTGTATTGGGATAAACAATTAGAAGTTCTCAAAAACGACTTGATCAATCTACTCCAATTTTGTTGTGGTTGTTAAAAAGTATGAAACCTAAGAATTTCAAGTAACTGCGACAAACTATCGTCGCATTACCAACAAACCTGCATTTTGCCACGGTTTTCGGCCATAACTTTTTTCTATTAGTCAAATCTTTTTACGTGTGGTCTTATTTTGTAAGTCTCATAAATACCTAAAAATCTTATTTGAAGAGTTTTTTCATTCCTGCTAACACTTTCGATTGAATCCCAAAAACACGTTTTCTTATTCTTTGTTGTCGAATAAAAAGTTTTCCCACAAAAATTGGTGTACACATTTTATGCGTGTTTTAAATACCTCCTTGAACAACTTGCATCAATAAAACCAGACTTTAAAATTATTTCACAAATCAGGGGTATTTTCGTATAATATGATTAGACTATGACAAAATATATGGAAATAAACATTATTTTGCCACTTAAAAACCATTTTCCTAGTGAGATACATGTTTATTTCCCATCAACTTCCCTCGCTGTAAAAGTAAAACTTTATGTACTTCCTTTGGTTAACAACGTTTATTTGCTATTTTCTTTAAGGGGTAAGCAATGTTCCTCACATTACTTTCAGTCTACCATTTAAAATATGAAACTGTGTAAATTCTCCAAGCAGGAAAAGTAAAGTTGCAGTTTTTTTTAGGTGCAAAATGGCATTCCTTTCAATATCATTTGCAACCCGCCTATTCGAATTTCTGAAAAAACTCATGATCACCTACCGGACAAGTCAAGAGGGAAGTCAGGGGGTATTGTCCAAAGGATTTTATCAAGAACATAGAACGAGATTGCCTAATACCTGACACAGGTGGTAGTTCAAGCTAGATAAAAAAAGGTGAAAAAAAGTTTAGTAGATATAGAGAAAGTTTTAAATGGAAATGACAAATACATCAAAAGATGCAGCTAGATATGAGTTGTTTTTTATAAAGAAAAGCCCAAAATTCAGTATTTTGTTTGTATAATTTTCAAATTAAATTTTATAAGTAACTGGTGAGCAGGAAGTTTTAAGAGCATAAAAATACCTTCAATTTTGTTTTTTAGGTATCAAACTCGATAAACAATTAAGCTAAATACGGGGATTTTTAGAAATATTGAATAAATGTTTATAACTATTGCAATAACAATTTTTATTATTATTATTGCTAATATAATTTCCAGTTTACCGATTACTTATAAAATTTAATTTGAAAATCATACAAGCAAAATACTGAATTTTGAGCGCTTATCCCATTATTTATAAAAAAAACAACGCATATCGTTTTATGTATTTGTCATTAAAAAGACTCCTTTCATTTAAAACTTTTGAGATGTCTGCTGAACTTTTTTACATGAAATATGTATTTTTTTTCTGTAGCCTGGGCTATGGTGCACCTTCAGCCTTATGGCTGGGCGGCAACTGTTTGGCACCGGAATCTAACTCCATTGCTACTAAAAATATAAATGACAGAAATCAAACATACCATCAGAAGAAATTTCTTTCCAAGGGTTTGGTGGATACATAAATGCAGCATTCTGTATCTGTTCATTTATATCTTCATCTTCATTGAACGGGAATGTACCACTGAGACTAACGTACACTATTACACCAACACTCCACATATCCAAAGATCTATTGTACCCTTTATTTCTTAATACTTCGGGAGCTAAAATCATTTTTCGTATATGTTTAGGAAATGTTTTTCTAGTACTTATACGTATATACAACAACACCGGAATAGGCTACTTGAGTTATATATAATTTCATAGAATGAATTAGTATTTCTTACAGTATTTGCCTTAGAAAAATATATATATATACAGGGTGGCGCATCGAAAACTAAACAGACGCATTTACTGGCAGCTCAGTTTTTTTTTTGAAAAACGCTCAGACCCGTCGATTTTGTTTTCGAGGTACACAAAAAATCACGTTAGCATGTGCAGCCCCCTAAGCGGGGGTGACACTACCCCCAAAATATTAAATGAAAAGGGGGGTCGAGTGATACCTTATTTTACAGGTCTTTAAATAAAACTAATACATCATCATTAGTGGAGATCAATACATTTGGCAGCAAAGTAATTTAAAAATAAAGAATGAACTGACCCGTTAGGCAAGTAAATGTTGAAAATGGCCACCATGACTCTCCATGCAATAATAAAGATTTTGCTCAAAACGTTGCCGCAGATTTTGCAATATTTGAGGAGTAATTTGAAGGCACTCATTCACAATTCTTTGTCGCAGGTCTTCCAATGATGTTGGCTGAGTAGCATAGATTTTGCTTTTTAAATGACCCCACATAAAGAAATCCAAAGGTGATAAATCTGGCGATCTTGGGGGCCATTCAATGGCACCTCTTCTACCAATCCATCGTTCTGGAAACGTCTGATCTAAATATTGTCGAACACGTAATGCGGAATGTGGTGGGCCACCATCCTGTTGGAACATCAACCTATTCGCAATGTACCGCCGATCATTCTGATTTTCAATTTTGGCTGTTAATGCAGGATCTATGGCGTCTTCCAGTAATTCCAAATACATTTCACCGGTCAAATTTCCAGGTAAGAAAAAAGGACCAACTAAATGATCGCCAAAAATACCAGCCCAAACATTTAATTTTTGTGGCTGCTGTGTATGAACCTCATGATAAATTCTGGGATTAGAATCGGACCAATATCGGCAGTTATGACGATTTACTACGCCATTTAAGAAAAAGGAACATTCCTCGGAAAAGCAAGTGTTGAATAGAAAATGTTCATCGTTTATAATTCGTTCACTCATATCATCACAAAATTGTAATCGCCGATCAAAATCGTCTTCATTAAATTCTTGTACCAGGTGAATTTTATACAGATGAAAACTATGGGCCTTTAGAATCCGTTGGACAGTACGTCGACTAACACCACACACAGTCTCCAATTTGCGGGTACTTAACGTAGGATCTACATAAACTTGCCCTAAAACCCCCACTTCTATTGCTTCGTTCCTTATGGTATTTTCAATGTTGCGTTTTTTATTGGCGACTGACCCAGTTTCCCGAAATGTAGGTACAAGTTCTAGAACATATTTTCGATGCACGTTACTGTTCTCATGTCGCTCATTAAATATTTTTGCTATTCTATTAGCGCACTGATTATTTCCGAAAAATATTTCGATAATTTCAACTCTTTCTGCTGTGGAATATACCATGGTTAATTTATGTAATAAAGCGTTACAAGTTATTTTAGCAACAAAGTTTGGTCAAATCAATCGCAAACTATGTACTAAATTCCTATTTAAAATAAGTACGAGATATTTCCTTATCTTTCTTCAAGAACTAATTTTTTTGCCACAATAAAACGCTCCAATAGCTATTTTCAACAACAAAATGATAAATAAACCACGGGCGTAGTGAAGAAAAGCATTTACTTATTAAGTAAATTCTTTTAGTCAAATTTCTTCTGAAAGTAGTACAAACTAATCTGAGGTACCTATTAAAGTCTACTTTAAGCTTTAAATCAATAAATCTTCAAAACTACTTAACTGAAGCTCATGTATTTTACATCATTATAAAGGGAATTGAAAGACCTTTAAAATAAGGTATCACTGACCCTCCTTTCCATTCAAGATGTTAGGGTTGGTGTCACCCCCGCCCAGGGGGCTGCACGTGTTAACGTGATTTTTTGCCAAACTTGTGTCTCCCTCGAAAACAAAATCGACGGGTCTGAGCGTTTTTCCAAAAAAAAAAAATTGAGCTGCCAGTAAATGCGTCTGTTTCGTTTTCGATGCGCCACCCTGTATGTAGTATTCATACTTAATTGCATAACTGTACCGGCACGTGTTGGATAATGTGGAGGTTATCAGTGAAAAAAAGATGAAATCTCGAAGGAATTTTCAATAGTTGATAGTTTTAAAATTTTCAAAATTTATTCCAAAATCGATTGTTTAATTAAAAAGCCTTGTAAACTGATTATCCATTTAATAATAAAATAATTCTGCCCTAATCGAACCTCATCAGTTCAGTTTTTTATTCGTCGACTATGTGTTCCCTTCACTGTTGTTTAAAAACAATTTTAGCAACAATCTCGCCGGATTACTCCAGCGATGAAGACTTCGAAAGCTCGAGTTTAGTTATAAGAGTGTACTTTTGCAATACTTTGCCTTCCACCCAAAGAAATTCAAGAATATATATATATATATATATATATATATATATATATATATATGTGAGCAGTAGTCATTGCCACTGCCAACGACCAGTTGGGCAAAAAATACAATTAATTGTTAATTGGGAAATTGGCAAACTTTTTAGGCTTTAGTAAACTCTTTTAACGGTAATCTCGAGCTTTCGGCATTTTCTATGGAGCCTTCTTCAGGAGTCGTCGATGAGGTTGTAGCCAAATGGTGTTTCAAAATGAACGCGGAGATGAGAGCACTTGATACAAATATAAAACCAAAAGGATGGACACATGGGGTTGATTGATAACGACGGAAATCATCGTTAGGTATTAACACTATATATCAATACACCCGAACACATTAAAAATTAACGAAAAGCAATTTTGGAGACAAAAACCGGAACGTCCCTTCTAACCTCCTACATCTGCTTCACGTGGAAAAGATGAGCGGACCGAAAGAATCATTCTTCCGGTCCGCTCACCATTCTTCCGGTCCGCTCACGGCCAATTTCTTGATAGGCAATAATTATACCACTGTCAAAGTCGCTAACATGGTGATAATTTCGACGCCTTCGTACTTGAGGCATTTTGTTATGCTTAACACTAATACATGAAAGGCAAATAACTGAAAATATCGGTACCACTCAGCTGTTAGAAACTGCTTTCTTCACAAAGACTAAGTGTTCATGCAAGTTCTAAAACATACTTTATTATTTTGAACTCAAAAGCCATACAAATTCAAACCCTTTGGCACGTGCGCATACCAGTAAAACATGCGCACAAGAGGAAGAAGATTTCGTGAAATCAATCTCGTAAAGATCGGAAAAGTCAACGGTTGACTTCAATACCTCGACAAAGAATCCTAGTTAAACCGGGTACAATATATCCGCTAAGGCAAGTGTGGTGAACCTAAGAAGAAGCTGTGAAGAGAGAGGACCTCGTCCAGACCAGACGACAGGAACACCCAGGTACGTGCCAATCCTACATTGTCTTTGTATGGCTCGGGTGTCGATTATCTTATTACCTTAATTATATCTGAACGCGCTTACAGTCCCGCGGCTCTCCACAATTTAGAATCATCTTTGCAATAACACTAAAAGATAATATTTTAACAAAGGTAAACAAAAACAAAGATAAAGCGTTGACATTGTTGGCACAGCACGCCTTCAATATAGTCATGCAAAAAAAAACAAGTTAAAGTAATTATTTTTTCTGGGTGTAACACTTCTAATGTCACGGAATATATTATCATTCATAAATGATTTTACTGATTTTAATGATTGTAGTGCTGCAAAAATGTCAAGTAGATATGTAGGATATTGAACATTCAGAACGCTTTAACGGTGCTAAAGAATTCAACTGTACCGAATGCAAAGGAGTGTAAATAGTGTATTTGACCCTCTTACCTAAATATGCTGGTGTTCCTACCACAGATCTCCGGAAAGACTTTTCGCCAATAATTCTAGCAAATCCAAAATCGCATAGTTTAACTTGAGGATATTCGGCATCTGAACTTAAAAGAACATTTTCAGGTTTCAAATCACAGTGCACAATATTTTTGCTATGCAAATGCTTCAGCGCTATCAAAATCTGGAAAACATTCTTCAGTTAATTACAAATACGGCCCAGAAAGACAATAAAGATGTTATCAAGTGGTCCACGAAATTCTAGACCTGGGACAAAATTATCCTCCATCTCAACTGAATTGTAAGTCGTGATATGAAGCTGCCTCCGCCCCTTAAGAATGTGTTAATAGTGTCCCAATATTCCGTGGACATAGAAGTACCACGTACATTTAGACTCAAAATAAGTCTATTGGACATGATTCACTTCTGTGCAAAAGCCCTTCGCTTGTCCGTCAGAGAGCGTCAGTTTTTTCTGTTATTTTTGGAACAGATAGTACAATTTGGATGAAATTTGGAACATACAGACGTCTTAATATTCGACTTTTACAAAAATTCCCATAGAGTTCCAGGAGGGTGAAAACTTCTCCACCCCTACCTAAATTATAGCAGCATTTTTTCGCAACTCAAACAAAAATGTTTTTCGGAGCTGGATTCCAAAGAAATTTTATTAATCCGATTTTTGAACTGCGTAAAGTTACTATAACTGGGAAAAGCTTCCCCTTGAAGATTGTTTCACAATCTCGACACCCTCGAGACAAAGGAGAGGTCGTATCGGCCAGTTCTGGATGTACTAAGTTCGACACGGTTACGTTGGGAGGCCAAAGTCAGGCGGGTCTATCTGTCAGGCACATCGCGCGGATGCATTATGGAGGAGAGCTCCGAGGAGCAAAGCCGCTTGGTGTAGAAGTAGAAGAGAGCCAGATCACCGACAGCCCGCCGGTGAGAAAGAGTCACGAGACTCTCTGTTAGAGAAGAGTCATCGACCAGTCAGACAGCCCTCCTCTAGACAGCATCGAGCATAAATAATGTAGTCGGGGCGGCTGCACCCCAAACGTGTGAGCAATACTCGAGGCTAGGCCTTATCTGGGCCCTAAACAAATAGCCTAAATTTTTCTCATCAGCTGCCGCTATTGACGAGATGTGTTCGTGCCAGATCAAGTCCTCGGTGATCTGGACTCCAACCAGTCGAAATGAACGGCCTTTTGGCAGACCTCGGCCATCCATCGAAACCGAATGAGCGCTAGGACGCTTTTTGTTCATGAAAGCATTAAATTGTACCAGATTGTTGCGTCCCCAAGCAGTGATAACCTCCAGGCGTCTAGTCAGAGAAGTCGTCGCTAGTCTTTTTTCCTCAGCTCAGCGGTAGATCGGCTTGTCTCTCTGAATTCCTGCAAGTGCTGCCATTGGATTGGGTTGATCGTACAGGAAAGGAGGGTGTTAATATGTCACAACCAAGATCGAACCATGCGGAACACTCGCGTTGACGTTGTGGGATGAAGAGGAGACCCCGCCGATTACCACGGATATCTTGCGGCCAGAGTGGAAGACAGTCATCCATCTGCAAACCTTCTCTGGGAGGCCATAGGATGGAAATTTGAGTAAGAGGGTAGCGTGCCATAGCTGGTCGAACGCTTTCGTGATATCAAGAGTAACGACATAAGCTTCATCATAAGGCTGGATGAGTTTACTCCACAATTGCGTGGCGTACGCTAGGAGGTCCTCTGTGGATCTCTGGTGTCAGAAACCTGCCTGTCGTTCAAGGTAGTCCAGAAGCTCGCGATTTATGTACCTCTCCATCACCTTACTTATAACGGAAAGTAGAGCTATAGGCCTGTAGTTATAAGGGTCGATTTTAGATCCTTTTTTTTGGGATGGCTTGGACATGAGTAAATTTCCAATTTTCTGGGAAGGTACCGGATTCATAAGATATCTGGAAGAGACGCGAAAGAACTGGAGCAAGCTTCGCTGCATACCTCTTCAGTACACTTTCAGGAATTAAGTCGGGACTAGAAGCTTTGTTAATTTTGAGCGACAAGAGCACCCGTCTTACAGTGTTATGCCTGAATATTACTTCCCGCATAGTGTAGGGAACCCTTTGAATCGATAGCACTTGGTGGTTGAGGGGAACATCCATGGTGAAGTTGGCAGCAAAGATCTTGGCAATGTATATGAAGAGTTAAAATCTAGTAGGCATCTTGTTGGCGGAGATGTGGGATGTTATATAAAAAATAAAGATTAGATTTAACAAAATAGCCAAAAGCCTTTATCCATCAAGCTCCGGCATGTCGTAGTTTACATTGTTTCCATACTGAGCCGTCGAATATGTCAGAATCTGCGAAATTACTTGTGCGAGCTAACAAGCAGTTTCTACCGTATTGTAGTGCCTTATTCGAATGCCATATATGCTCCATCAAAACCAACAGAGCGCGACGTTTATATTCGCACGCTCCTATTGGCCAGTGGGACATAAATGCCTGGACAGTCAGCGACAAGCGAATAGAAGCGACGATCCAGTGCTCATGTTTGTTTTGACGCGGGGCAAATGAGGTGTGAACAGACTATAGCTACGTCTTTGATCCATTGTGAGAAACCATCCGGAACAGTCAGAAACTCGTATTGGGGTGAACCCCATCATGGCTTCCCAGAAAGCTAAATGAAAGATAGCTTTCAATGCTTTCTAAGTTCCATTCGACAATTTTTTAGGCATATATTATATAGATATTTTAGAGGGTGATTCCTTATTAAAAAATATGAAAAAAAGTATCTCTAAACATGGGTCCGGAATGCAGAATTTCCAAGATACAGGGCGAAAATAATTTTTTTTTATTATTGTCTTAAAAAATATTTACTCGATTCTATTGAAATTTGGCAATATTATTTGTTGTATCAAGAGGCTAATTTAGCTCTAAATATATTGAAATGATTAAGTTAAGTGGCGACCCATGGGAAAACCTTAGCGAATATTTTTGTCAAAAAAATGTACGCCGCTGCCTTTTTTGTAACTTTAATATTTGTTGTTTGATTAAGCATCCAAAAATACAACTTTTTTGCCTCATGTAATTTTTTCGTATCTCATTTCGTCTTCGAGAAATAAAAATTTTTATTGCTTTTGACTGGGCAACTTTGGTTTATTAATTTTGCTAAGAAAATCACAAGTGCCTTGGAAAACAAACATCACTTCTTCATAGAGATTTTTGTCTCGGATTTTGTTATGAAAAATTACACTTTTCGGGAAATGGCAGACATACATGTAATATATGCACGTGCTTATAGTAACTGTTATGCAGCGAGGCGCCTGTATCCAGAAGCGTTTTCCCAAGTTTGACGAGGCAGTTTTACGTGCCATGGAACAAAATCATGGTATTAATACCAAGAGTATATCAACTAGATTAAGCACTGCGGCAGCAGCAGGTTCTCTCCGAGCAACTTTTCTATCCCTATCATGTCGAACGAGTGCACGAATTATTACCAAGAGTTTTTCTACCTCGTTCACAGTTTTGCCAATTGTATTACCAAAAGGTTCATAATACATAATAGAAATTTTAATAAAACCATACTTTTTACGGACGAAGCAGGATTTCGGAGGGATGGTATTTTTAATTACCATAGCACTCATGTATGCAGTGACGAAAATCCTCATCCTTACGTACAATGTCGCCACCAGGAACAATTTTCTTTAAATTTATGGATGGGTATTGTTGGTGACAATTTAATTGGTCCTTTCTTTTTACCCTTAAGACTAAACGGCGAATCTTACTTAGAGATTCTTCAACAAAAATTGCCCGTACTGCTAGAAGAAGTACCTCTAAATGTACGTAACCAAATAACTTTTATGCACGATGGAACTCCTCCTGATTTTAGTAAACGTCACCACTCATCTGAATAACACCTTTGGTGAAAATTGTGTTGGAAGAGGTGGACCAAATCACTGGCCATCTCGCTCCTTCATCCTCAGGATTTTGCAGCTCGAATGGAGTTTAGTAGAATAATGCTAAGTAAAGTGAGTGAAGACACTACTTTCCTGGATAAGGTTCTTTTTAGCGATGAGGAAACTTTTAACAGCATAGGTGTTGTCAACAGGCATAACATGCACTATTATGAGACGGAAAATCCTTACTGGGTTAGGCAAATAGATTTCCAAAATAAATGGAGCTTGAATGTTTGGGGAGGAGTTATTGGCAGACAAGTTATCGGGTCTTTCTTTTTCGACAACAGATTAACAGGTACAGAATTCTTGAATTTTTTGATCGGGCATTTGCCTTTGCTTTTGGAGAATGTCTACCTGCAAACTCGGATACATAGGTATGTACTTCCAAAATGACGGCGCAACTACGCATTATGATAATCGTGTGCGTAACTATTTGGACACCTGGAGTAACAAACCTTGGATAGGTCGTGATGGGCCTATATCTTGGCCTCCTAGATCACCAGATATGACACCAATGGACTTCTTTCTATCGGGCTAAGTTAAGCAAGAGGTTTATAGATATCCACCATCTATCCCGGAAATTATGAAGGAAAGGATTAAAGATGCTTTTCTGAACATAAGGGAATACATGCTGAGGGATGTGCAACGAACATTTATCCAAAGACTACGGCTGTTTATTCAACATGGTGGAGATATCTTCGAGCAGTTTTTGTAGATTAGGTCTTGAGTAGTGATAGTCTTTTTGTTTATGTATAGTTGATTTTTTTCTCTATTACGCTTGGAGCTGATTTATACTGTTCTGATTGTTATTGTCAAATCTGTACTAGCCCACTGTTTGCCTTTTGTTTCCATGGATGATGTGATTTTTTTCCTTAATTTTGGCGTGTTGTTCTATTAAAAACTTAATAACTCAAAATCTAGTGATTTTATCTGAATCAAACCCTATACCAAAAAAAAGCTTATAAAAAATTGAATCCAAACTTGCACAAATATGCAGGGTGATGCTTTTGAAATTTTTCAGAAAAAGTACAATTCGCGTTTTTGACTACCCTGTATGAGCAAAAATGAAAATTCGAAAAAGTAACAAATAATATAAAAGCTGAGGGGTGTAAGTTTTTTTATATAAAATTCAGCGCTCCAAATTTCAAAATGGCGGATTGAGGGGTTGCCGAAGTGGACGGTTTTTCTGGACAAAACACCTTACATCTTAGTAGCTAATAACCAAAACCCCACAGTATGACATATCAATCTTCTTCTTTTGAATTGGTTTATCCAAATATGCAATAAAATCTGAGGCATTCCATTTAAAAAATCACAACTTTGATATGTAGGTCAAAATTGGGACACCCTGTATAATTGCCAATATTTTAGAAATGTGCCCTTAAATATCATGTATAACATGCCATAAATAGATTTTCCCAAAATGTATTTGTTTATGAGTAATATTCCGTCCACACATGGATGGGCCACCCTGTATACAGGGTGTCTGCGAAAGGTTGGGAAATCTCGAAACTGGAGATACTACAAACCAAAATATAAATTGACCTAAACATACCTTAGTCCAAAAGTTGTTAGTTTGCTAGATACAGGGTATCAAGTTTACAATTTTATTTTCTATTTTTCCTTATTGCTTGAGAAGTATTTCAGATTTTCGCATAAATCTCGGTATAGGGAGGTTTTCTAGTATGAGGAACAATAATCAGTTATTTTTTATGGTCAAACTTCTAGAGGGCGCCACTTACAGCACTATGTCGGTAAATAACTTATAACTTTTTTGTGCTACCCTGTATACAACAACTGACCGAAAAATCCAATGTATTTCCACAACTAAAAGGTTTACTTGTGTCTAAAGCTAATAGTTTTCGAGATATTTGTTTTTAAAAGATCCAATGCATTATTTGTACCATGATAAAACATTTTTATAACATAATAATCAAGTTATTATTGCTTTAAACTTCATGTATAATTTTAAGTTGACAATAAGTTGTTAGACATCATCGTTTGATGAATATTTTAATATGCATTTAATGTACGGATTGGCAAGATGTAATGCTTTATTAGCACGAAGATTGTTCGCAGACAGATTTCCTAACAGACACCTGCCTAATTCAAAGACTTTCCAACGAATCAATCAGCGGTTACGAGGAACTGGTAAGAAATGATTATAGCCTTATTTTGAGTAGTGAAAACCATTTGGATTTTAGGTAGTTTTGCTCAAAACAGAACAGTACGTACCGCTAAAGTTGAAGAAAATGTTTTAGATGCTGTTTTTGAAAACCATACAGTTGAGATTAGAAATTTAGCTCGAGAATTTCAAGTTCCCGAATATGCCATACCACCTGCAACAAAATTTTGTACATGGCTTTTAAGGAAGTTTAACCACAACAATGGTCTTACTTCGTTGATATTATTTTCGGAGGACGAAGCAGGATTTGGAAGGGATGGGCCCATCAACTCGCATAATATTCACATTTATGCAGACGAAAATCCTCATGCAAGAATACAAACCCGCGACCAAGTACAATTTCAAATTAATTTATGGGCAGGAATAATTGGGCAATATTTAATAGGACCCGTTGAGTTACCACCTAGACTAAATGGTCAAAGGTATTTACAATTTCTTGCAGAACAATTACCCACTCTGCTTGAAGATCTCCCATTACAAACACGCATGAATATATAGTTTATGCACGACGGCGCTCCACCTCATTTTAGTATATTAGTTAGAGAGCACCTAAATAGAGTTTATCCAGAACAGTGGATAGGCCGATCAGGACCTGTATCTTGTCCGGCTAGATCACCAGATTTAAATCCCATGGATTTCTTCTTCTGCGGTGAGTTAAAATGACGCGTTTACAATACGCCAGTGGAAACTGTAGATGATATTCGACAAAGAATTTTCCACCATAGCCAGGAAATGAAAAATAACATCCAAATGCTTTGGAGAGTGCAGCAATGATTAGTTCGTCAAGTTCGAGAGCGTGTTACACAAGGTGGTGCTCATTTCGAACAATTTTTGTAGTTATTATCTCCGTTTATTAGTTCTGTTGCCATCCTCATTTGTCATTGTTAAAAACCATAGCAACGCTACTCAGATATTATCCAAAGCAACTAGATTATTATGTTATAAAAATGTTTTATCATCATGGTACAAATAATGCATTGGAACTTTTAAAAACAAATATCTCGAAAACTATTAGCTTTAGACATTTCTGACAAGTAAACCTTTTTTGTTGTGGAAATACGAGAAAATAAGGTTTTTGAGCCAGTTGTTGTATACACGATAGCACAAAAAAGTTATGACAAGTTGTTTACAGTAATTGTGCTGTAAGTGGCGCCCTCTAGAAGTTTGGCCATAAAAATTAACGGATTCTTGTTTCTCATACTAGAAAACCTCCCTATACCGAGTTTTATACCAAAATCTGAAATACTTCTCAAGCAATAAGGAAAAATATAAAATAAAATTGTAACTTTGACATCCCGTATCTCGTAAACTATCGACTTTTGAACTAAGGTATGTTTAGCTCAATTCACATATTTTGGTCTGTAGTATCTCCAGTTTCGAGATTTCCCAACCTTTCGCGGACACCCTATATACAGGGTGACTTTGAAGTTGAGTCATTAATTTTCAGATAATGATTGTAGAAGGAAGATAAACCAAAATATGTGTATAAAAATAAAAAAAAAAATAAAAAAAATGTTACCTTGTTTTATAAAGTATCCTCCCGACAAGTATTTCAGTGCGGACCTGTATTTGATCGTGCGGTCTTGGAGCACCGGCATGCTCTCCCCTGTGAGGTCTTAAGTCACCTGATTCACGAGCCCTTTGTACTACAATCAGCATTTTCGTAAACATGTGCCATTTTTTATTCACTATTCACTCACGCATTTCCGACTGACACATCGACTGAATACAACTGAATAAGATTGTACATTGTAGTAAAAACATCGTTTCAAATTCTTTCGCTTTTTTGTTTCCGATGCGATGAACGGATAAGGCGGATTATATCCGTTGTTGCCAAACACGAGCACATAATATTATTATTGAGACAGGGCGATACTCAAACTTCTAAAGTGCTATAACTTTGTTACTTTAATTTTACCAGAAAAATGTTAAAGGAAAAAACATTTCTTTTGATCAGATCTACTCACTGTTAAAATAAATGACTCAACTTCGAAGTCACGCTGTATAAAGTGTAAATATAGTGGCCAAGTTTAGCAATATACTATTCTAACACTTAACCAGTAAAGTTAAATCTTAAATAAAATCGTAAATGCTTGCGAAAAATAAGAAATACACCTCGAATTGTAGCTCTTGTTTCGACGAGTGAGAAGGTGTGAGGGAATGGATGGTGGACATTTCCAACATTTGTTGTTTGTAGTGGCATTCTTTCCTAGGTTTTTTTTTGATTTTTTGTTTTCCAAGGCACTTTATCACGCTTTTTCATATTGTTTAACGAGGAATCACCCAATAAAATATCTCCATCTATTTTTCAAACACCGTATAATAATATTGTTAATTGAAACTGTTAGCAAATGTTAGGTATTGCAAATAATATGGGTTACTGGAAATGCTGCGATAAGCAGCAGAGCAACTACCTCTTAATAAACATTAAAGAGAATAAATTTAACAATGAACGAATTAAGGCAAGCACTGCCCTCTTAGAAAAAGTAAATGTATTATTCTCAAAAATTACCTGAGTGATCAAAAATTTTGTAACTCGTTCGGTCAGTCTGCCTTTATCATGTGACAGAATCATTTCTAACATATCACCTTTCAGTTTCTCCATAACAACAAAAATTCTTTCTGGGGTTTCAAACATCCTTTCTAGATTAACCACACCCGGATGTGATAAATTCTGTAAAATTGACACTTCGTTTTTGAGCTGCGCCTCCTGTTTAGTAGGAAATCTCAACTTGTCTATGACCTAAAAACAAACGTATTTTACTATGTCCGTCATTTGTTATGATCAATAACTATACTTTTATAGCTACTGTTTTGCCTGATTTTCTGTGAACTCCGCCATACACAATTCCGAACTGTCCAGATCCCAAGACCTCATCTGGATAAATTTGATAAATCTGGCTCATGTCGGTAATCTGTTCTTCACTAGCCGATGTTTCTTCATGTTCTGAAACGGAAATGCTGAAGTAGTAATATGAATAAAGATACACCATGCTGATTATACAGGGCGATTCACAAGTCGTGCCCAAAAATGAATTATCATACACAGGACCTAATTTTAAGGAGAGTTTTCTATGTAACATTTTTTCCTTGAGGGCTTCATTGAAAACGTACGAGGTGTGGAAGTTTGAAAATGAAAAACATTTTTTAATACCTTCATAAACAGTCAACTAAAATGAACTGAAATTTGGTATGTGGATTTACCTAAGTATTGTCCACATTCAAAAGTCTTTACTTAAAATTAACGTGCACCAGTGGCGGAGATACAGGGCATTAGTGGCATTATTTTCCAAATAAAAATAGTACGCCACAGTTTTTTTTTCGAAACGCACAATTTTTCGAGTTTAGCTTCAATTTGCTACAAATAACTCTTGCGTTTTGCCTAGAGTGCATTGTTTGCGTAAAAATAAAAAAAAAACAAATTAGGTGATCAAAGCTTAATAATGTTCAAAAAGACCACCATTCTGACGGATACAAGTGCGGCATCTTTTAATAAAGAAAAGGGTATTTCCGCAAAATTTATTATGGCTTGAATTTGATGAAACGCATGATCTATTCGTTCTTGTAACTGTCTAAAATGATTATTTAACCATGCGGTTATGTCACGACAAACATGCGGTGGGGCACCGTCGTGCTGATACCATATTCGTACTCTCGTTGCTAACGGAACATCGTTTAACACATTATCTATGTAATTCTGTGAGTTTGCATTTAAATGTTGTGGCAATACGTGCATAAACAGCTGGCCATTGAAAATGCCGCACCAGACATTTCTAGAAAATCATGGCTATGTGTAATATTTTTGAAAAGCAATCCTGATGGTTTTACTCTCCTTGGAAGTAATCAGAACCATACAACGCGCTTTTAAGTATTACTAAGCATAAAACAACAGAATATGAAACACGTATTTTCTAACTGCATCCACCCATTCACCAATTTACCAAAATATCTAAGGATTATAATCAGTTTAAGCATAAAGTAAAGGAATTTCTACGCCAGAGCTGCTTTTATACTGTACAAGAGTTTTTATCTTAATAATTTTAAATTATCATGTCTTACCAAAAGTCGGTCTTAGATCTTTTTTTGGGATGGGTTGGACAAGACCAAATTTCCAGTTTTCTGGAAAGGTGCCGGATGGAAGAGACGCGAAAGAAACGGAGCAAGCTCCGCTCACACCTGTTCAGTACAATGGCAGGAATCAATTCCGGACCAGAAACTTTGTTGATGTCGAGCGAAAAGAGCACCCTTCTTACGGTCTTATGCCTGAATGTTACTTCCCGCATAGTGTAGGGCACCCTTTGAAACGGCGGCACTTGGCCGTTGGGGGGGACTCACATGATGGAGTTGGCAGCAAAGATCTTAGCCTTTGAGTCGGTTACAATCATTCTATCATGACACGTAAGTGGTGGAAGGCTACTCTGTGATGTTTCTTTCAATCTACTTGGCCAGCATCCAGAAAGACCGTCGGCTTGTCTGTTGTGTACAGGGGGTTTTGTTCTGTGTGCCTTGATCTGCAGACGAGCAGTGTCGCACGATTTGTTGAACCATCCGTTGGACCCTGATTTAGGTACTTTCACAGTATCAGATATGTATGTATTCCTCCAACCCAACGTGGATAATTTCGCTAATCGAAGAACAGACAGCCAACGCATCCGCGTCAGCGAAACCAACATCTCTCTAAGGAAAGGTAGATAAAAAGTCTCTGCGCCCCTCCCAGTCGGCATTTCTGTATTGCCAAATTTTGCGGCCTGGGCGAGTTTCTGCTGCCATCAATATTTCAGAAAGGATTACTTGAATTTAATAAACTAAATAATGATGTAAAGCCTACTTGTAATTTAAAGATTTTTTAAAGAAAATTAGAGGGATATTTCAAGGACAGTGAAAATTCTTAGAGATGAAAATTTTGTTTTTTGTCAACATCTGTATTTTATGTAATTGCTGTAGTTTTTAAAAGAACGTAATTGTAGCAATCATGCTAAATAAATCTAAAACAAACAAAATCAGCGGCCGCTTCGGTATGTAAAATAAAAAAATATCGTTTCTGACTGAAAAGTTACATGTATATGCTTTTGAGTGTATTGGAAGAGAACTTACTTGCATTCGCTTGTACAGGAATTATTGCCTGACGTATGGTAGTTTCCCAGCTTTTTGCAAGATATGCTCCTATTCCACTATCTGGCGGTGGTAAATTGACAGAGTTGCCTTCTTGTAAATCATAAAGCGGGTCTTGACCAACAAAATAGTCTACATTGGCAGTTCTAATTTCAAAACAATGCATCACTTCTGTAAAAGCCCAAAGTATCATTAGATCAATAGAACAGTTTTCAGTCAAATGTATTACCTCCTTGCTTTATTCTTGCAGTATCAATTGTCAATATTTCTGATAATGGTATTTCTTTATAGTACTTCGAACTGTCCTCACTTTGAAATAGAACAATAGATTTAGTATCTAATCGCCAAAAATGTCTACGAATCTGAAAATGAAATGCATACATGGTTAGATTCCTCCAAGAAAATTCATATACTGAAAGGATATGTGAGTCTATATTATGCAGGGTGTTCGAAAAATAGACGGAGATATTTTAGAGGGTGATTCCTTGTTAAAAAATATGAACAAAAGTTTCCGTAAATGCAGAGTTTACAAGATACAGTGTGATAAATTAAAAAAAAAATAATATCTAGAAAAATATTTACTCGATTCTATTGAAATTTGGCAATATTATTTGTTGTATTAAAAGGATAATTTAGCACTAAATATATTATTAGGTCTAGTGGCGTCCTGGGGGGCACCTTAGCGAATATTATTGGCAAAAAATGTACACCACTGCCTTTTTTAATACCTGTTGTTTTATTAAGCAATTAAAAATACAACTTACCTCTTGTTTTTTATTCGACTCTAACTTCGTTTTCGAGAAAAAATAATAAAAACCGTTTTATTGTATTTCACTGGACAAAATTGGTTTATTAATTTTTGCTAAAAAAAATCAGTGGCTTGGAAAACAAAAAATCATTTCTGCATGGAGGTTTGACATTTGCGCGTTACTTCTAGAAAAAATTATTCATTTAATTTTCTTTTCGAAATTTCTCTAAACAGTTTTTTCTCGGTTTTTGTGATGGAAAATTGTGCTTTTGAGGAAATGGCAAACATGCAGAAGCGTTTCCCCATCAGCAACGTCCAGATAGTAAAACCTTTGAAATCGTAGACCGTGGATTACGGGAAAGAAGTAAATTTTCTTATTTTTTCTATTCCATTATTTACTGGGTAAAGACGTATTTTTAAATGCTTAATCAAACGACAGATATTAAAAAAGGCAGTGGCGTGCATTTTTTTGCCAATAATATTCGCTGAGGTGCCCCCGGGATGCCATTAGACCTAATAATCTATTTAGAGCTAAATCAGCATCTTAATACAACAAATAATATTGCCAAATTTCAACAGAATCGAGTATATATATTTTTAAATAATATTTGTTTAAATTTTTCACCCTGTATCTTGAAAACTGCATTTCCGGACCCATGTTTATAGAAACTTTTTTTCATATTTTTTAACAAGGAATGACCCTCTAAAATCTCTCCGTCTATTTTTCGAACACCCTGTATATTTTCAGGATTAAAACGAAACAAAATTAGCAAAACTACATGGTTTCTGGTACCTGAACCAATAGCAATAAATCATTTGAAGGGTCTTGTCCAATAGAATGAAAAATACCACTCCAATTTATTTTCTGATCCTAGCATTTTCAACTCGAAGTTTAATGATTATTACGATGTTTATGTCGCTACCACTGAAGTATTTGTATTTATGGCACCTATTTCTACATCACTTTGCAATATTGGCACAGATAATTAGAGAGTTGGGTCCTCCTGTATTAGGAACGGCTTGCTAAAAGATTCCGCAATCAATACAGACTTGTGTTTAAAAACAATAGACACGGATTATACGAACGCTTTCGACACTATCCTGGTTCAGAAGCTGCCTGTCAGGATAAACACAGTGTGTCAGATATGCCGGATGATTTTCCCAACAATGTCTTTTCAAGTGCACCCTAAACATCCCACATTGGTCCAGTTTTATTCAATTTACTTGTTAACGATGTTAAAGAATCTATATTACATAGCAGTTACTTTTGTTTTTGCAGATGATATTCAATTATTCAGAACACAACGTTTAAATCTTACAAAGGGGTCTATTTAATCTTGCTCTGTGGTGTAGTACCAATAAGATCAATATGAATAAAAGCTACCAGATAAGCTTCAGCCGTAGTTCAAATTATCTCATGTATGAATATAAAGTTGAAAACCGTGACCTCATGAGAACTGATGCAGTTACGGATTTAGGTATAACTTTTGAAAAACACATTGAAGAAAGTACTTCTAAATCATACAGGGTGGCCCCACTAAAAGATCTCACCCTCATTTGTGACTCTTCTGGCATATTTTTATTTATTTGTAGTGGGATTTCTAAATAAATTGGGTGTTTGATTTAAATTTTTCGCAAAATTACATCTTTCCGTTTTGACTCACTCTGTATGCTTCGGATGAAACATGTACGTAAAAAGCATTGCATATGAATGTCTACCACTGTTTCCATCACTCAGAATAATAAAACAGATTTTATCTAAAGTGTATTTGAGGTACGGGAAGTATAATGCATAATAATTTAAACGAAAAAGTGGCCATAGATTAATACCCAACACAAACCCCGAAACCATACATTGGCAGAATGGCCAAGAAAAGGCACTTCTAAAAATCAGCAGAAATACAGGGTCTCCTATTTAAAAAAATACAAGTTCATATTGCCACTAATTTATGGGACACCCTATATAGCTAAAAATAATTTCTGCAATTCTAATAGTAACGAAGATATTGAGCTTTGATACACTATTTGGATACCCTGTATATACAATGGTATATCACTTATTGCTATTAGTCAGGATACCAGAATACCCATACTCCTTCAATGTTGATGAGTTATTACATTATAACATTGTTTAAAAAAAGTCATATTGTTATTCTGGAGAAATATAGTGTGATAATTTTAAAAGCAAATACCAACCATTCTATCCTTATTAGTGAAATGTACAAGCCAGCCTTCTTTTATAACCTTTGATCCTCTCCTTTTTGTGTGTTTCACTGATTGCACAATTCGTTGCAGTGGAATGTTGGCACTGGGTGATGAGGATGAGCTACATCTGTAACAAGATAAGATAATTTCACTCGCGGTATGTTAAATAAATCTAGCGTGTGGTTTCTAAGTAATAGATAAAACGATAAATCACACTAAGAAAGAGAACACACATTTTTCTTTTCTGGCATCTAAGCCTGTTGACATAATCATAATAATAATCTATTTATTTCCCTGTAAAATAAACTGGTGGACAGTTGCTTTGGAACATGGAAAACTTTACCCAAATCCAAATCTCGATATTTTCGGAACGGAAAGAGGTATCAAGTTGCGGTATTCGGGAGGTTCTTGACCAACTCATGAGAACATGTACAGGTTTCGACTGGTATATGTCTTTTATTTATCCACTTATGCAGGGTGAGCAAAGGAAGTCATGTTTTTTAGCAAAGCTTGGGGCTATGTCAGATTCTCAATTTTTGATCTTAGAGATTTTTCTATGCATCTTTTTGATCTTTGGACCATCCTAAAAAAGTGATATCTAAAATTTTTTGAAAGTTGGCTATAACACTAATTATCGAAATTTTAACTAGCAATAAATATCTTTCGGCTCGACCTCGCATTTGTTTGGGATTACCCTCTCCATGAAAATAGGACGGCTCTCCAGTTTACACCTCAAACATGCAACTGCTAAGTAACAATACTATTGACTGGTAGAATTGACAGTATATTTTTATTTTCTCAAAAATCTCTCGTCTTTTTCAAAAAGAACGAGAGAATTGTGTAAGATTATTGGGAGAAGAAGGTCGTTTAGTGAATGATGTAGCTTTAATTTATAATGTTGAACGGTCCTCAGTATACCGTTTAAGGCGTAGATATCAGGATACCGGGGAAACGTCCTAATTGCACGGCGGAGGTAATAAAAAAATATACGAGCTCGGGCCGAAAGACATTTATTGCAGGAAGTAAGGTGAAGGAGGACCCTTTCATCCAGAGCCTTGAATGAAAACTTACGGCGGCACAGGGGAATAATAGCATCCAACAATACTGTAAGAAGAACTTTAAATTCTAACTTGTTAAGGTACGTAAATCTTATAAAAAACTGGCTAGGTACCTTTTTAAAGTAGCATGTCTTCCAGAGCAAGGCGTCGCGCCAAGTGTACCAGACTCTTGAACAATCATAGAGTCGCCAGGTACCAATGGGCACAGGAGCGGGTAAGTTGGCATCAGCAATGGCAAAATTGCAAGTTTCCGATGAAACACGCTTCAACCTATACCACTCTGATGGTAGGGGAAGGACATGATGGAGAAAACATGGCTCCACAAGAGGCGTTTGGTGGAGGTGGCATTACTGTTTGGGCTGAGGTTATGCACAGTGTTAAAACCGTACTTCTTATTTCAAACAGGACAGTCAATGCTGCCTGATTTTACTTGCCCTGGAACAAAATCCTGGTATCGGTACCAGGACTACAGCAACTACATAAGGGGATAATCATTCCAACAGCACTGTGTACCAGGTTCTCCCCGAGTAACTTTTGTATCCCTATCATGTTCAACGTGTGGAAGCATTATTACCAAGAGATTTTCTACCTCGTTTACAGTTTTGCCAATGGTATTACCAAAAGGTTAATAATAATAGGAATTTTAATAAAACCATACTTTTTACGGACGAAGCAGGATTTCGGCGGGATGGTATTGTTAATTACCATAACACTCATGTATGGAGTGACAAAAATCCTCATGCTCACATACAATGTCGCCACTAGGAACAATTCTCTTCAAATGTGTGGATTTCTTTGTGACAATTTAATTGGTCCTTTCTTTTTACCCTTAAGATTAAGCGGCGAATCTGACTTAAGAGTTCCTTCAACAAGATTTGCCAGTACTGCTAGAAGAAGTTCCTCTAAGTGTACTTAACCAAATAGCTTTTATGCACGATGAAGCTCCTTCCTCCTCATTTTAGTATACATGTCAAAACACATCTGAATAACGCCTTTGGTGAAAATTGGGTTTGAAGAGGTCCCCTGACTTAAATCCAATAGATTTTTATTTATGCGGTCAATGATTCGTGGAATGAGGAGATATACGGAAATGGATGGTGGCCATTTCCAACATTTGCAGTTGTATTTTCAGATGCTTAATCAATCAACAAATATTAAAGTTACAAAAAAGGCAGTGGCGTACATTTTTTTCCAATAATATTTGCTCATGTGCTCCCAGGGACGCCACTGAACTTAATAATTTTAATCTATCTAGGGCTAAATTAGCCTCTTATTATAACAAATAATATCGCCAAATTTCAACAGAATCCAGTTCATATTTTTTAAGATATTAATAAAAAAAAGTGCCACCCTGTATCTTGAAAACTCTGCATTTCCGGACCCATGCTTATAGAACCTTTTTTTCATATTTTTTCAACAAGGTATCACCCTCTAAAATATCTGTGTCTATTTTTTGAACTTGTATTATCCAGTAAAAACTATTGATGACTGCCTTCTCTTACAGCAAGATATAATGACAATATCTTGATGGTCGCAAGTCAATCATCTCAACTTAAATGCTGACAAGTGCTTCATTATATCCTTCACAAGAAGACGTCAGCTAGTTTATTAATATTACCTTCGAAACGTTAGCCTTACCGATCAAGGGCAAGGCGGTGATTAAAGAATTCTCTTCGATCAAAAGATGTTAGATACCACTGTTTCGTTAGCTAATAAAATTTTCTACAGTGTTTACAGTTTTGCCAATGGTATTACCAAAAGGTTAATAATAACAGGAATTTTAATAAAACTAAACTTTTTACGGACGAAGCAGGATCTCGGCGGGATGGTATTGTTAATTACCATAACACTCATATTTGGAGTGACGAAAATCCTCATGCTTATGTACAATGTCGCCACTAGGAACAATTTTCTTTAAATGTTTGGATGGGTATTATTGGTGACAGTTTAATTGATCCTTTTTTATCCGTAAGATTAAATGTCGAATCTTACTTATAGTTTCTTCAACAAGAATTGCCCGTACCGCTACCGTTCCTCTAAATGTACGTAACCAAATAACTTTTATGAACGATGAAGCTCCTCATTTTAGTATACTTGTCAGAGCTCATTTGAATAACACCTTTGGTGAAAATTGGGTTGGAAGAGGTGGACCAATTCACTGGCCACCTCGCTCCCCTGACCTAATTGATGGGGACACCTTTAGACGATGGTTTACGCTACTCCTATAGAAACAATAGAATAAATGAGGAAAAAAATTGTAAATCCTTATGAAGAAATAAGAAATAGACCTTGAATTTAGCATTAAGACGATAGACATTTCCAACATTTGTTGTAGTGTACTTTATGTTATTGTACCTGTTGAAAAAGTTGCAATAACACCCTTTCCTACAATTTTTTTTCAGTTTTGGTTTTCCGAGGGACTTTTTTCAACAAAAAAATAATAAACTAATTTTGTCCAGCGACAGGCAATAATACCGTTTTTAATTTTTTTCTTGAAAAAGAAGTGAGATACGAAAAAAATACAAGAGGCAGAGACGTATTTTTAGATGCTTAATCAAACAACAAATATTAAAGTTACAAAAAAGGCAGTGACGTACATTTTTTGCCAATAACATTCGCTAAGGTGCACCACGGGACGCCACTGGACCTAATAATTGCAATCTATTTAGTGCTAAATCTTATTACAACAAAGAATATTGCCAAATTTCATCAGAATCAGAGTAAATATGTTTTAAGACATTAATATATATTTCTTTTAAATGTATCACCCTGTATCTTGAAAACTCTTATTATTTCTTAACAAGGTATCACCGTCTATTTATCGATCAGCCTGTATAATAGTGTCATCTGTGTATGACACCACTACACTCAGAAAATGACAGACAGGCAGAAATGAATTGAGGTCGTTAGCATACAATAAAAGCAGAAAAGGTCCAAGGACAGATCCTTGTGGGACACCCAAATTCAAAAGTGTCGTCTCGATATACTGCTTTCGTGTATCAAGATATGAGTGAAAAAGTCGAATGTGAGAAAAAAAGATAAATCACTTACGAGGAAGGCGTAAGATCGTTGTCGTCATCATGTACGGGTATCACTTCAATGTATTTGTTACTGTCGCCGTTGTCTGAAGAATAAGAATCCTTCATTGCTTCTTGGTCATCTTCTTCTAGCGTCAAATTGTAACGGCTATCATTGCTTGCACAACTATCTGGATACTCAACATTACCTGAAATATTTAAATGTTTGTAAATAATGTAGGAATGTCCAATACACAAAAAATATACGACGTGTTTCAAATTCGACCCTTTGGGATCTCGGAATCTCGGAAACTGTAAGAGATACGAAGTCCCTTAAATAGGGGCTACGTTGCGTATTTAGGTAAACGACAAAGTGCCGCTTAGGAAGTTTCGAAATTCCAAAATCGTTATAATTTTTTCCTGGCTCTATTTGTAGTGGGGTTCCAAAATAAATTGCACATCAACATGACCATCTTTGCTCCTCTACAAGATGCCATAATTAAAATTTTAATATGACGTTTCGTGTCTTGTCCGCCAGCATCAACTTTATTTCTTCCTATGGACGCCATATTCCGTTTTTGCGCAAACGAATAGTTTTTAAATCTGATTTCTAAAATGTGTAAATAGGTATGTCATACATTGACATAGCTAAACGTCAGTTATTCCAGAAAAACATAAGTTTATAGGTAGGCCTTGAAATTATCGGATTTCATTTGTTTCGTATACCAGATCAGACTTCAAATTAAAAATAGCAACAGAGTTGGAAGACTGAGAGGAAGCGAACTAAATCGAGCAGTGAGCAATATGCAGAGAATTGTCTGGCTTTGCCTACAAAATAACAGCCAACATTTTGAACATCTGCATCATTTACCTCTGGTTATTTTTGATTATTATTGTTGTTAGCATTAATAAAATTTTCATTTTGTGTTCATGTTTCACCATACCTTTTTATTTCCTTATAATTTTTAACCAACAATAAATTCATGGCCAACAAAGGAAATACGAGCCCTGTCTAAGTGAAGTTGGCCCAACGCCTCAAAACATGCTATTTGTATATTTATTTTTGCAAAATGCTGTGTATAGCAAAATACATAAAGGAGAAAACTTAAGTTGAATGGTATGTTTGCTAGCTTCGGTAAAATAAAGGTAGGCTTTGTAAAACGAATGATAACATTTTACGTTGCCAAAAAGCTGATTTTTGACATTTAAATCAACTTTCTATGCATTGGTGTTGATGCTAGCAATTAAAAATGGCTCGTGGTAAAACCGTTTCTGACGAAATAAGAAAGTGACCATTCACTTGCATTTAAAAGGTCAAAACACTTCTCAAATCGCTGACAGTGTTAACAAATCGACGAATGGAACTTCATTATTTGGTGTGATGAAGCCAGATTTGAAGTATGTGTTGATGATAGTAGAAGTCGTGTCATAAGAACGAAAGAAGTGTTTCGGAATGACTGTCTTAACAAAAGTCAAGTTTCCGGGTTCAGTTATGATTTGAGGATCCATATCAGCAAGTGGAGTGGAAAACTTACACTTTATGGAAGGTATTATGAATGCTTATAAGTACATTAATGTGCTTCAAAATAACTTGATACTCCAAATTGAACAAACGCGCAAACAATATCGAATGTATCTTCCAACAAGATGGTGCCGCCTGCCATAAGGCTAAAAAAGTAAAAGATTGGATGTTAGAAAAAAATATTTCAGATTGAAAATGGACGTCGAGTAGTCCAGATCTATCGCCGATTGAGACTTTGTGGCCTATCATGAAGAAAAATCTCCGATCGAATCCCGCAAGAACCGTTCCAGAATTGTGAATCCTACTCCAAGAAATTTGGAACAGTTTTACATCAGATGACTGCCAAACATTAGTTGACACTATGTCAACACGTATCAAAGCACTAATCAGTCGAAACCGCCATGTAACGCAGTGGTGATTTGCTGCTATTTAGTTTCGTTGATTGATATTAATCGGCAGTTTGTTTAAATACGTAAGATATTTTTTCTTTGTGACAAAAAATGTAGTATTTTAAGTTAAAATTAAATAAAAACACCGTATGAAATCAGAAATACATTTTAGTTCTTAATACATTTCCGATAATATGCCAAATTTCATAAAAACGTAGTTTTGATAGTTGGGCAAACTTCGCTGACACAGGGCTTCTACATCACTCAATTTTGGACTGAAAAAGGGAATGTTGAAACAAATGACTACCTGATAATTTCAAGGCCTACCTAGGAAATTCTGTTTTTGTTTTTTGTCAATGTACGACGTATTACATATTTTTGGAATCCGAATTAAAAACTCGACTCATCTGTGCAAAAATCCAATATGGCGTCTTTAGGAAAAATAAAGTTGATGCTGGATGACAAGAAATTCTGATCATGCCATCTTGTAGAGGAGAAAATGTGGCAATGTTAATGTGCAACTTATTCGAAATCCCTACAAATAAACTTAGGAAGAAATTAAGACGTTTTTCCCATCTCTCTCCGGAAGTAATTTGTTAATTACCTAAATACGCAACTTTGCCCCCATTCAAGTGACTTTGTATCTCTTACAGTTTCCGAGATCCCAATGGTGAGGGTCTAATTTGAAACATCCTGTATTGCCGTGGTTCTACAGTGCGTTTCAGAATAAAATTACAATCTCTCGGAGGCTTATCGAACATATAAGAATTTACAAGAACCTATAAGAAGCGTCATCCGGGGAAAAAGGCTAGTTGACACTTTTCTGAATAGGTCTCAAATAGTCAATATTTTCTCTATTAGATAAAAACACAAGTACATATCACATTATTCGATTGTACCACTTTAGACTATGCATACTGGTATGCACATATACAGTTCAAATTATTTGGGAAACGTTATGATCTTTGTACTTTTTACCGTTCACCAAACAGTGATGCAGATACATTTTTAACGTTTTTTGAAGAAAAATGCGAAGAAATGTGGAATTTTAGAAACAATATAATACTTTTAGGTGATTTTAATTTAAATTATTATGGTAAAAGCATGAAAACAAGAAAATTGAAAGAAACCATAAACAACTATGGGTTCAAGCAAAAAATTGAAGAGAGTACCAGAATAACACCATTATCAGAGACTTTGTTAGATCTTGTAAATCTTGTAAATTTCGAATGTGCAGGGATTAAAGCTGTACATACACCTAAAGTTAGTGATCACAGTTGGACAATGCTGCCCTTGGTAGGGCATTTTTCTGATACAAAAATTAAGAAAATCGTAAATACTATTAAGTACGAAAAACTTGAACGAGAACTTGCTGGCTGCTATTGGAATTTTGGTGAGAATATGGAAAAAATATATGACAACATAATAGGAAATATAAAAACTTGTTTAGATCTTGCAACTGATAAAAAAGTGATTTGCTCGACAAAAAATACACCCTGGTATAACAAGAATATTAAAAAAAATTTGAGAGACAAAAATACAATAAATGTATATTCACAAAATCAAATGATGATTGGGAGGTATATAAAACTCTTAGGAATAAATGTGTATATGTAATTAGAGAAGAAAAAAGAAAATTCTACGATAAACAAATCGATAATAACAAGTGCGACAGTGTAAAGATGTGGAAGACTTTAAAAAGACTGATCAATTCGAAGCCGCATGATTGTGTAAATCAAGTTCAATTCGAATACGGTACCGAAACAAATTCTTTGGTGATTGCAAACAAACTAAATGAATATTTTGTGGAAAGTATTGTTGATATTGTAGGTACTGCCAATGCTGCACCTGACTATATGAAAATCAGTTTCCAGGGGGAAATGTTCCATACACTTTCAAAATTTCACAGCGTATCATTGAATTATCTAAGAAAAAAAGTAAACAGTTTAAAATCAAATAACAACTGTGCCGAAATGACTACTAAAAACGTGCTGAAAAACTGTTTCGAAATTTTGGGATATCCTGTATTAAATTGGATCAATTGTTCACTGAGAAGCAGTTCTTTCCCTGAAAATTTGAAATGCTCTACAATAACACCAGTTCCCAAAATAAAAAATTCTAAAAGATGCAGCGATATGAGACCAATAAATGTGTTACCAGACATTGAAAAATTATTAGAGTCCATAGTGCATGACCAATTAATGCAGTTTATAGAAGAAAACAAAATTTTAGTGGAGGCGCAAGCAGGCTTTCGAAAAAAATATTCCACAGAAACAGCTTTCCAGTTGGTAACTGAGAATTGGAGAAGAGCCATAGACTCAGAAGAAGTTGTCATAGCAGTATTTTTGGATTTGAAGAGAGCATTTGAAACGATTGATAGAGATATTTTGTTAGGTAAATTGAAGGCATATGGTATAACAGGAAGTGTTTTAGATTGGTTTAGAAATTATTTGTCGAAAAGGATGCAAGTTACAAAAGTTAATGACACTATTTCATCAAAAATTGAAAATACGTTGGGTGTTCCACAGGGCAGTATCCTGGGACCACTTCTTTTTATTTTATACATAAATGATTTACCTGCCATAGTAAAAAAATGCAAAATTCAAATTTTCGCCGATGACACTATGATTTATATAAGTACTAAAAATATTCAGTCTGATATCTCTTATATAAATGAAGACTTGAAGCTTGTCTCAAAATGGTTAGCATCTAATAGACTAAAATTAAATGCAAGTAAAACGAAAGCCTTGTTAATCGGAAAAAAACAATGTACAAATGTTCAACTGAATATTGATGGTGAAGATATTGAATTCGTAGAAAATTTTAAATACCTGGGAGTTTTTGTTGACTCTCGATTAATTTTTGATATTCATTATGAAAAAGTTATAAATAAGATTAGTAGTAAGTGGGATATTTATCGAGAGTTTCTGGATGTCTGAGTTCATATAGCAGAAAAATTATCTATAATACCATCATTCTTCCAAATTTCATGTACTGTTCGACTATTTTATATTTAGCAAATAATTCCATTTTGAAAGACTGCAAATTTTACAAAATAAGTGCATTTGAATAATACTAAATAAAGATAAATATACTCCAATTAGGCAAATGCTTAGCAAATTAAAATGGCTCAATCTAAAAAATTTTATCAAATATCTTGTAATGATATTCATTTATAAAGTAAAAAATAATATATTTCCATCAAGTCTAACTAATTTAACATCATCAAATGTCGACCATCATTTACATAATACCAGAAATAAAGATGCCGTCCATTTAATGACCATAATGTATAACA